CTGCAAATGATTATCAAATGAAGGGTGTCAGGGCAGGTTTTTCAGTCACAAGTTGATTACAATCTTGGTCTTAACTTATAGTTATCTATGAAAAAGTTTCAGTAACATGTTTGTAATAAAACGGCAGTTAACTTCAATTAGATGACCATCCATGAGGTCTGTAGTTAAATAGCAATACCCGACGTTTGTTAAAACAGACCTTGGCGTTTATTCAAAAATTTACAAATGCATGAATCAATTTATCGATAAATACGCGGATTGTCTCACCGTCGTGTTTGTCGGCTCCCCCACCACCAATCCCAACAAGAAGCGCTTATTTGCGATGCTCAGTACCGGACCAACGCACGCAAAAACGTTACCACCCATAGAAATTGAGTAAAGTACATAGGGAAGGGAAACGTGTATAAGCATTCAACATGTCCTCAAATGGTGAAGAGTGTGCTTTGTCGGCCGCACGAACATCCACGATGAAAACGAAGCAGGAGGCCGTCGATCTCCGCGGAAGTTGTGGCGAAGATTGAACAAATCTTGCTCGAAGATCGGCGAATCACGATCCGGAACAAGCGGTTGAAATTCATGAGGCTTCTGAAAAAGCCGAGATGGGTAATTCAAAACCGTAGTAGGGCGAAACTCAGCAACGCGTAAGACTGCACCACAACAATGCGCATCCTCATGTCTCACAACAAGCAAAGGGCTTAATCGAACGATTTGGCTGGGAAGTCATTGCCCATTCCTCTCACAGTCCTGACATAGCGTTTCCGAAATTGAAGGAGCACCTAGGTGGTCAACGGTTCGAGACGGGCGAGGAGTTGCAATAAGCAGTTACCAAGTTTCCAAGAGCAAAAGTGGATTCCACGTCTAAAAAAAGTGTAGAAAAAAATGGCAACTATGGAGAAAAATAGCTTAAAGATCAAAGTTTCCAATGGTGAATTCTTTTTTTACAATAAAAAAACTCGTTGTACCTAAAAAAATGTGGGTACCATATTTTTGAAACAGCCCTCATATAAATTAAAGCTAAAGTATTTATAAAAAAAACTGGAGAAAACAAAAGTGTATCTCATATTATTTGAGACTATTAGAAAACGTGTAAATCTCATAGCTACTATGTAAGTGACAAAGTGTTGAAAATTTGAATGTGAAACGTCCATCTTAATAAAAAAATTAGAAAAATCAACATTACGAGGTGTTCCCAAGCAGTTGTCCGTCCAAATACTAACCGCGCCCGACGCTGCTTAACTCCAGCGATCGGATGAAAGATTGATTATTCTTATGTTCGTTCGCGAACTAGTAAAACTTGTTCGTTTTAGTGAGTGACACCTATTGAACTAGTTAACCAAAATGAACTAGAAAGCACATTACTTTCATAGATAATCCAGTTGAATTGCCGGATATTGTGATCTTTATCAGAAAGTCTGCCAGACATGAAGTCAAGTTTTAATGCTTGATGCGTTAGTTTCTGTGTTGACCTAGGGTCGTCAAAAATAGTCAAAATAGCATAACATGTTTGAATTTTGAAATGAACTTACCCTGGACACATTTCGCTTTGAACTTATTATACGCCCGCTGGTTCAAGTTGTTCTCCTTTAGTAATTCGGGAGATGGATGTTTTAATGACGGCAGAGATTGAGGAACACTGCTACCGTAGCTACCATCGCTTGTGTCCAGGTGAGCATCATTAGGGCTGGTACCATGGCTGCTTCTGGAAAAATGTTCATAGCCTCTCAAATGATTGGTCGCACACTGCGGCTAGAGGACCACGCACACGATAAGTCAGATATTAGATAACAGTTAAATTTTCATAAAATTCTCCATCTTAATAATAGCCTCATTACCCAATAGTTCAAACGTTTTAAGTAACCGAAAAAAATGACTAACAAATACAAAACGAAAATAAACATTCCTCACAATTGCAATACAGGTATGAATAAGTACCATGTATCCATCTATATGTCTTAGATATTCCATTCAATTTTGTTCAAATTAGAGCAAGCTACAAGTAATGGTAACTTATGCATATTTTTTTAGCTTTTGGAGGTTTGACGATTGTATGCTTACGAAATACAAAATTTGATTTATTCTAGGATTGTAGGGCAATCTATTAAATTATTGAGCAGTTAGTAAACAAATACTAATGAGGCATAGCAACTACGTTGTTTAAAATGACTACACAGTTCTCCTCATTGATTGTACCTCTCGCTGGATATGTCACGCCAATCGTGAACAAAACAAATTTTGAAAACATCTGCTCTCTTTCAATAGCTATAAAAAAACTTTTTTAAATTTAAAAAATTTGTTTCGATTCTATTCACACCAATTTTTAGTAAATCCCTACAGAATTACTACTATTATGAAAGTCTTGTACATCAGATCACGGAGCTGATATTTGACTACACGGATATTCAGAAAGCTCCGATGTGGAAAAATTGTTACATATGAGGTTTCATCATAACAACGACGATATGAATGAATTATATCACAGCTTAAAGGCCTTTATAGTATGTACATTTCTACAGTTCGTTACTATGAAGCCATAAGCCACCAATGCCAACTTTCTTATTTATTTATATGTTCACCAAAACTTATATTTTGATCAAATATATGTAAATCGGGTACATCGTATCATCTTCTTGGCATCAATCGAATACGGTTATTCACAAAAATTCTTTCTCCTGGTCTAACTGACTATTTTTGATACAACCATCAGTACTTATCCGCGAAAAAATTTTCCGTAAGTTTAACCGTTCTCCAAAACCCTATATATCGTTGTGCGTGATCCTTAACACAAGAATTCTGTAAAAAATTAGGCAACCTCAAAATCTTACGTATCATCGTAAAAGGACAGTTTCGCAACTGGTGTGCCTTCATATTCTGGCGCCGTGTAGTCTGGAGGAGTTTTATCCCACACCAGAACATCTGTGGGTACATATGGGATAGGGTAAGGATGATGACTTGGAAGTGGAGTTGGACTTGGAGTCTCATTCTCAGAACTGAAAAAAGATCATAGGTATGTGATTCTCTATTTCTAATTTCAAACGTTTCCCTTGTAGGTACTGTACTATAATTTACACATTTTATTCTATTTATACAGGGTGACCCAACCAGTCGTTTGAAAAAGTATTCTGTCGTCCCGCTGGCACATCTTGATATAGCTCCTCGTTAAAAGCAAAATCTAACTCTTCACGTTCCAGACTCTTGGTCTTCTGCTTCCTTTTCCCCTTATTCTTCCTTTTAACCGGCATCCAGTTTGTATCATCCTTGTTTTTCTCGTTGTTTTCATCGATCCTGCATGCTTTATTTTCACCCATTGACACTTCATTTATGGCAGCCCTCTTCATCATGGTTGTTGCATCATTCGTGTTTTCATTGTTATTTTGATTCTCCTTGTTGTTTATTTCCATGGCAGAGTCTTGGGTATTGTTATCATTTAATTTTTTCCCATCTGAAAAACAATGAGTCAAAAATATTCAGTCATTTTTTTCCAACAGCCTGTCTGGAAGAGTATATATTTTCAATCTGATTGTTTCATGGTGTATATAGGGATGGCTGAAAAACAATGTTATCAGTTTCTTTTTTGTCAAAAATTGTATTTTTTGTGGATTTTCTTCAATCATAGCTTGTTAAGAAAAATACTACAGCTCTAAAACTGAATGTGAATATTCCAGTTTCATGGACAACACTGAGCGAGTGATTAGTATTTTTCGTATCACTTTCTCTTTTCAAAAAATCTTTGCTTTCCTTGGAAATTTGCTGTAAAATGAGAAAAGAAAATAAAAGTAATCACCCACTCAATTCTACCATAAAAGTGGGATTGTGACATACAATTCTAGATCTGTACTAATGTCTGTTAGAAAGTTGCAATTGAAAAAAAATCACAAAAAAGCATTTTTTGAAAAAAACTCTATACACAACATGAAATAATCAGATGAAAAAGATTTAGAATACTGCTTGAAACAGGCACTTGAAAGAAAGGGACATGCTACCCTAATGCAAAACTAGCTCAAGTCATTTCTACCAAATCCGCATTTTTACAGCAAGCGAAATTGAAAAGTTTCGGGACATATGATACTCAAAGACCAAAAAGTAAAACGAGTACATTTTTAAAAAATACAAAAACTCGACTGCAGTTACTGGCAAGTATGAAAACTTCTAGTAATTAATTGGTCGACGAGTCATAAAAAAGTGTCCATCTGATAAAGAACACACTGTAAGAACTTGAAAAAGGCGTAAAAGCAGATTAAAATAATTATTTTTTGAAAGTTCGTCAAGATAATGCTAAGAAGTATCGTAAGTGAAAGAGGATACGTTCACCAGAAATACTAAATGTAACTTGGGCTGCAACAGTGTTTCCTGGCATTATTTAACTCTTTCAGGGGTAAGTAACGTCGGTTGAAAAAACCCTAGAGGGGCACACATTTTTTATTTACTTTTTCAACTTGTACATTTTACTACATGAACGAAAGTAATACGAAAACTAGTGAAACAGTTTTTCTTTGTACTTTTTCGTATAATTCCCACAAATTCAGGTGGTACGAATAATGTACCAGCGTACATCAATGTGAATTATTGTTGATTATGGAAATGCTGAAAACATGCTTTATTTTCTCCTAAACATAGAGGCACCTTGCAAACAGTACACATCCAATCGGTCCGAATCTGTCTTTTTGAGGTGCTGCAGTAGGCGCAACGACGTCTGGTGGTTCTTTGTGGTTGATGAACACTCTCGGTTGTACGTATTTCAACAGGCACGTATGGTTTTAACTTCTTGATTGGAATTGGTTCTGAGATAAGTGATGTTCTTTTCAGATTAACAGTGCGATTGGCCAAAAGATAATTCACTACTTGTCTTCTGTAATCCTTCATTGATAGTTCTGGCAAATTAAATTCTTTATAACGGGTGATTCATTTAGAGGTACTTTTTTGGTGTGGCTGTAATTGCTTATGGCGAATGCGTCATGACAACTAATTTGACATTTTCAGCACAGCGTCTACAAATAATTCAGCTGTACTACGAAAATCAACGTTCCGCGAGAAGTGTGTTTCGTGCACTTAGAGCAACTTATGGTGTACATAATCGGCCCACCGAACGCACAATTCGCCGTACGGTCGAAAAATTTTTCATTATTGGATAATACCCGACCAAATAGACCACATCCAGCACGCAGCGAAGAAAATATAGCTGCGGTAGCTGAGAGTATACGTGAGGACCGTGAAGAATCGATTCGGCGCCGTTCTCATCAGCTTGGCTTGTCGTATTCAACAACTTTGCGTATTTTACGTAAGAATCTTAATTTGAAACCATACGAAAATCCTTAAAGGACAATCGTGGACGATTTGAATCTAGTATGTATGAAAGTCACGCTTCAACATTCGTCTCAAGCTCGTACGAACAATACCCATAGTCGCTCTACAGGGTTTGTCCGGAAAGTGATAGGACTCATTTTCTTCCGCCATGACTGTACTTCGGAGCGACTGGATTCGGTAGAGGGCGTTCCTAGCTAACGAATGAGGGGCTGGTCAGTTGTCTCCGTGTCTCCGAGCATTTGGAGAGTCAGGACAGGCATTTTCGCGCGACGTGTTTCTGTGAGTGGTGCAAACAAAAAATGCAGCGTTCGTTAGAGCAGAGGTACGCGATTAAATTCTGTGTGAAACTCGGTAAATCTGCGACAAAGACGTTTGATATGATCAAGCAGGCTTACCCAGGTGTTGCTTTAGCAAGAAGTGGTGTGTTTCGGTGGCACCAGGACTTTTTGGAGGGCCGGGAAGAGGTCGCTGATGAAGACCGTGCTGGAAGACCTTCGATTTCGACAAACACCGATAATGTGACTCGTGTGCGCAAAGTTTTGAACTCAGACCATCGACTAAGTATTCGCTTAATTGCCCAGATGTTAAATTTACCAAAATCTGTGGTTCATGACATTGTGACACAGCATTTGAAGGTGTGCGCGAAGATGGTCCCAAAAGTGCTCACTGACGACCAGAAATTGCGGCGAGTAGACGAGTGCCAAGAAAATTTGAACATGTGTGAAAGTGAGTATGATCCCGAGACAAAGAGGCAATCTTCCGAGTGGCACGCGACGGCGTCTCCTCGCCCAAAAAAGGGAAGAATGAGCAAATCCAAAGTGAAAACGATACTCATTGTCTTTTTTGACATCAAAGGCATCGTCCACCATGAATTTGTTCCTCCTGGACAAACCGTCAACGCCAAGTTTTACGTGGAAGTGCTCAGGAGACTCAAACGAAGGGTCAGTCGGGTCCGACAAGACATCGCAGCCGACTGGAAGTTGCACCACGACAACGCCCCGGCTCACACCGCCTTTCTTGTGAACAGCTACCTGACCAAGGCCGGCATCCCAACGCTTCCGCAGCCGCCCTACAGCCCAGATGTGGCCCCCCCGGTCTTTTTTTTGTTTCCTCGCCTGAAAAGGCCGATGAAAGGCAAGCATTTTGAGACGACATAGGGGATCCAAGCAGCATGCACCGCGCCTCTCAAGGCTATTCCGGAGAATGCCTTCCGTGACGCCTTCAATGCTTGGAAATCGCGCTGGCAGCGCTGCATCGACGCAGAAGGAGCATATTTTGAAAGTTTTTAAAGAATTGTAACGATTCGCTCAATACATTTTTTTAAACCGACTCAGTCCTATTACTTTCCGGACAAGCCCTGTATGTCTACGAGTTGAGAGCTCTGGATCGACTCAAACAGATTCACTTCTCTATTCTTTGATCCGTTTGTACAGTCCGCGGGTGACCTTGACGTCTTGTTAGTAATGTTAAACTGGGTTCGTCAAAGCTCCTCAACCATTGATTCTTTAAATTAGTGCTAAGGTACTGATAAATACGCCGCACAGTGACATAAGGATGATTAAAAATGCATGAACCATGCAATCGAATGGTATCGCCCTCCAGCGTTTCTCAAATGTGAATTTTATTATGGCCCACCCTGTATTATTTATTGAAGTCTTCGAATAATTCTGGCTGAAATATCTTCCTATTTAAGCATGTTAAAAAACGTATCCTGCAAAATTTCTGGGTATAAGCTACTCCTGGTTCTGAGGGTACAGTATCCAAAATGCCTACCTATTTCATGCGGAATAAACTCGGCGACATCGAGATTCAAGTTTTCTACATGTCTTTCTCTAAGTATTTTTGGTGAAGGTGGTGGAGGCACAAGTTTGGCATTTATCTCGTCGTCTTTTTCAGTAGACTTATCTAGAATTGGCCACTTAAGAGGATCAAGCTTGGGGCGAACCTAAAAACAATTCAAAATCGTGTACCGATTTTCATAAAAAATAATATCCATTAGACGATCAACCAAGAACAGTGGATGTACAAGGTCTGTAAGTTTAGTGGGGTTAGTTCGATCTGGCAATACTGAAGGCGCCGGGCTTGGAGGGGAGACAGGAGAGCATGTGATCCACCTTCAGTACAAGTTTGAACTCGCTCGGGTCATTTGGTTGTCAGTAGCGATTTTTTTAGTCTTTTCTATTGTGTTCTAAAAATGAGTGGCATCAATTTCAAGCAACGGTGTGCTATCAGGTTTTGTTTCACACTTGGACACAGTGCAACGAAAACTCTTGCTAAACATTCTTACGGAGATAGTGTCAAGAGTACAGGTTTTTTGGTCATTTAAAGCATTTTCAGAAGGGAGAAGATGAACCACGAAGCGGAAGTCTTTCATCTTCCAGAACCGATGAAAACATCAACAGAATACGGGATCTTGCGAGTCCAGGTCGTCGGCTGACGGTTAGAATGATCGGGTAGAGTTGAATTTGACTCACACCACCGTTCAGCAGATCAAGAACAACTGTGTCTTGCATCACGATAATGCTCCTTGTCACACGGCAATGTCAATAAACGATTTTTGGCCAGTAAAAACATTCATGTGTCTCCTCAGCCCCCTTATTCGCCTGACTTGAGTCCTTATGAGTTTTTTGTTGAAAAATAATCTCAAGGGACAGTCGTAAACAACAAACGGCTGTAACCGACCAGTTGAAGGCTATTCCAGCATCGGAGTTCCAGCACTGCTATGGGGAGTGGAAGAACCGTCTTCGACTCTGAATGGAGGAAGTTATTATAGAAAATTGTAATTATATTCCAAAAAAAACTGTCTCATCACTTAATTTACAGACCTCGTAGACGTAATATTAAAAGGAAAAATACCTTGAAGCCTGCAGTCAATTCTAATTTGTCGGAATAGCTGATAGCTTCGACAACCAAGGCCACGTGATGAGTGAGTGCTCGTACTCTATGGAATGAGGCTATCAAGCTCACTGGAACGTACCCCTCAGGATCCATTTTGCTTCTTAGAAAAAAGTCACTGTTTAAATTATCATCACTGAAATAGTACTCGCTGAAAAGGAAGGAAAAAGAAGTCGGTTAATTTTAGATGCAGTTTGTGAAAACTAATGAGGAAAAACTTACATTTGGTTGCGAATATATTTCTTCAAGGTTGGTCCGTCTAAGCTGACGTAACTGTTGCTGTTGAAATGATAGGTCTCCGTGCATGGAACCACAAAATTCTGGCCATCTTGAGATCCACTGAAGCTGGCCATCTAAAAAAGACACACAATTTTATAGTAATTGTGAGGACAAAAGTCTAATGTGCGAGATAATATCTCATAGACGCACCCAATGTTCCATAAAAAAAATACACGCTTAAATAATTCAGAACGGAAACTCGTCATTCAGTATCAATTTTCAATATTTTCTTGCATCTGAATTTTTATATATTGGGCAATCAAAATAAGAAATCGTTTTGAAATTGAGGTGTTCAATAATCATTGGTACATCATATTTAGAGAGTATCTGGAATCAAGTATAATTTCTGTACTGATATTCATCACCTTTTAGATTTCACAACAAATAGCTGAAAAAACTAGTGGTCAATAAAGTGCAATATGATCCAACTGAATGTTTCCGAACTATCTAAAGACTAATTATAAATAAATATAGTCCATTTAGACGTCTAATATAAACACCTTACAACAACATTACTTCTTGCCAAGAATTGCATTTTAATCCAGCATCAAAAACATAAACAAATGCTTACTACAAAAATAAAAGTTTTTTTTACTAATTATAAACCATAATGACAAATTCTGATTTATAAGTTGGCTAACAGAACTGTAAGGAAGTGTAAAACAATGTCGCATGGCATGGTGTCAGTGCGGAAAGTTCACGTAGTCTGCAAATTCAGCTTGAGCCGTGAAATGTACAGACGACGAAGTGAGACGGTAGTTGTTTCTTGAGACCTTATTGTCAAATATCACAAACAAGTGACCTTTTTCGATTTGGGTCTCCTTATTTCTAATCTGAGGCAAGTATAATGTATTTTCTGTAGACATAAATCAATGGTGAACAGGTAAATAGTGAAATAAGGAAGGAACGACTATACAAAGCAACAAAGTCGCTTTCTTCCTTGAGATTGATAATTGACAACTTTTGCCCCCATGATGCATGTCAAGGCAAATAAGGATACCTTAAGTGAAGAATGACTTTGCATTCGCGCCTAAAGGCGCGTTCTTACTAGTCGACGATATTTGAACAACAATGTTCAACTAGAACGAAAATCCTAGTTTTCCATTTCGATATTTGTTCAACGATAAAAATCGCTTAACAACGCACATCAATTTATATCATTTATAGACCGATTTTATTACCATATTATGTATACAGTGAAATTATTATATTACTCAAACACCTGCTAGTAAACAATGAAACTGCTGGTACAGCTTTTGAGTTAATATAGAAAATTACATCATTGGATGCAGTTTATTTGGCAAAAACCGCTTGGGACCAAGTAACCAAAGGAACAGTGCAGAATTGCTTCCGCGAAGCAGGATTTATGAATGAAAATATGCAAAGTGGAAACCAGTTAAATTAGGCTGATACACCTGACCCAGAAGATGACTTACCCCTTAATATACTTTCAGATATCCTCAAAAAAATAAGGATTTATTTAAAATGACTGATAATGAAAACCTTCGTAATTTTTTGAACCTAGATGAAATACACGAATTTTCCGAAGATTACGATGTCGATAAGGTTCCAGTACCAACAGAAGCTATTCCAAATTATGGCAAAGCTATTACCCCGACCAAGCAGCTCAAAAGTTTTGTCGAAAATCAGGGAGATACAGAGTCTTTGGAGCTTTTTCTAAATTAGAAATACGATTTCATTACGCCATTTTAAAGAAAAAGAGGAGACACACGACAATATATGAATTTTTGCGTCCATAAAATGACTTTTTATTTCATTGTTTTGTGTTACTACATATATGTATATACACATACATATTATATTATACATAATGTACATTCTTTGTATATATCTCAAGGTAACAAACTTTTTTTTTGTTACAGTTTTTTGTTTATTTTAAAGACATATTTATATACATATACGTTTTGAATGGCCGCAGTTTCTTTAATATATTCAGTTTTCATTAAAAACACGATTTTTGCTGTATTTCTTTTATTCGGACACCTATTTTGAACAGAGACTTTCAGACGGTCCCATTGCTGTCCGTAAAAGGTGATTTTACTGTTTGTCAATATTTAATTATTTATTGATTCCTAAAAATATTAACAAGCATTAAAAATCACAGGGTAGAAACCCATGAAAATGCAATCTTTGTTGATTTTGCTTTGTGTAGACCAAAAACGGCTGGAAAGTGGTCAAAAGGAGTTTTTCAGATTCAAATCGGAAATATTAATGTTTGTTAAATGTAAAAATAGAATTGCAAGGGATAGCGCATTATCCAGTACAACAGCAAAAAAAAATGGGAATAGTCCAACTGACGATGGATCAAAAAATTAAAAAAAAAAACACGAACTTTCTAACAAGTTCTCAATAATCTTGATCTGAAACAGCTGACATGTTTATTGTTACATTTTGATGATATGTCCGTCAATTCTGTAGTTATTAATTCTGAAATGAATATACGCCTGAACCCATTTTGCTTTTAGTTATTATTGAAATGGTAATTTACTTACATGATATTCAAGTGGAAAATTGGGATAGTCTGGATAACTAGGGAACCTGTTGGCAGGTCGGTTGGAAAGGGGTCTTCCAGCGCCCCGGCTTCTACCACCCCTACCTCTACGTTCTGCAGATGCTGGCCTTGCGTGACCATCCATTTCTCTTTCAGCCATCCTGTCTCGATCTTCCTCACTTACTGTGAACTGGGAATCTCTTGATCTATCCGATCTTCGCCTTTACCAAATACGAGAAAATATAGAGTGATTAAAAATATAAGCTAAATGATACTATCGACCATCTGACCAAAAAGGCATGATCAGCATTGTCTGGGCTTGATCTTTCTGAACAACAAGCTAAGCATCTGAACTAACCTCTACACGAGGTACACTCTATCAAAATATTCACGTCCAAATGCAACTGGTCTTGGAAAAATATGAAAACAAATAGGCACAATCCAAATGCATGATAATACTCAAAGATTTCCCCCTTCAATATTGATAGAACCAGTGGCACTGTCAAAGGGACAATTTTGGAAAATATATTATACATGCTGGCAGCTTGAAAACTGTCTTGGTTTTTCCGTTATCAGCTAATGTTAAAGTGAACTTTGATATTTGTATGTACCAAAACTCATATCAATTCCTCAATCTATTTTCGAAAAATGTAAGTTGAACCATCATGCTTCAAGGTGTGCTAAATATAAATGTTCATAACAAAATTCTGTAACACCATGTATACGCTTCAAAAACTACGGTTCAGTATGGAGTTTGCAGGGTACAGTAAAACGGGTTTATTAGAGACACTTTTTGAGGTAATTCATCCTATATCTCGCAAACTGGAAGAGTTAAATTTTTTGCCTAATTACCAAAAAAGGATCTTAGATGGATGTACCAATTTGGATATATTGTTTTTTTCTTTTGTAATTGCTTCCACGTTTTTTCTTTTTTTTTTCCTTCAGTGTCTCTCTTTACCCCGCAGAGGGGTTATCAGAGACGCATATCTTATTTCAATGGTTTGACCGGTTTAAACCACACGGGGCCTATGACAGTCAGTAAATATGTTTTTAAAAAAGCTTAATTTTAATTTTTAAGGTAAAACAACACATAAAATACTACACAAATCGTTTATTTAAGTAAAAACATATTAAAACGCCAACAAAAACTTATAATTTTACTAGCTATTTAAAATGCAAGCTAACACTAAATCTAAACAAGAAAAAACTTACATAATTTTAACAATCTGGTAGGTACCTATTTAGATGTTGTTTCGACAAACTAAAAATATAACTAGCAAAGAATGAAGAAAAATCATATTTAAAGGCAGTTTTGAAAAAAAAACTAAAAAAAGCTGGTGGGTAACTAATTATTTATAGATAGGTAATTTTTTAAATCCAGTTAAAATAATTGGAAGCAAATTTGTATGTGCCCGTCCTGATGGACGGTGGATCCACCTTGCCAATAACTTGACTAAAATGTATGTCACGTAAGTCGGGAACGTCTGGCTCTACAAAGCATTGCCCATTATTTACCTTTGTCGATTTTAGACGAAGTAACATACAGGACAAATTCTCGGAATAAATTGTTTCAAAAAATAATTTGGAAGTGCTTTTATTTTCTTCTTTAGAAACTGGGTACACTCTCTGTAAAATTCTACCATTCCAGTAAACTTCTTTCTTCGTAAAGTAAGACAGAGGCAAATTTTCATCTGAATCAGAGCAGCTTGAAACCTTAAAGTTTCTGTGCTCCGTATCACTATTTAAACTGTGTGAAGAGTTGGTCTCAGGTTCAATTTGATTTGAAGTGTCCAAAGACGAGTCACTATTGACAATTTGTGATGGTCCTGGGGCCTGCTCATCAAAATTTCCAACACTTTGTCCTGGTTTTACTTGAAGTTTAACTCTCTTATTTTTACAGGTAGGTTTGTCAGACCCATGTAAATTTTTTAGCAAATCAACAAACGATTCACTAACCAGTTGTCGCTTTTTGAGCTTCTCGATCTAAGGGTACAATGCCACATGCGTGAAATCCAGATTTAATATTTTTCTCAGAATTGACGTCAATTTGTTCCAGTAACTTTTTCAGAAGATTGGAAAACAATGATTTTGGAATCGTAGCTTCTTTTTGACCATCCTTAGCCTTCCACTGTTCTAGAATTTTTCGCCAGCACATTTTCATTGGCCTAAAGAAGCTCACATCCAATGGTTGCGTTAGGTGTATAGAATTTGTTGGAAGGAAAATGATATGAATGTTCTCAGCCTTGCACTTTTTAATAGCATCTACAGATATATGTGATGATAAATTATCACCAAGTAAGTACTTTGGACCAACTAGCCTAACATATGGAATAACGCATGTGTCCAGCCAATTTGAGAAACATGTAGCGTCAAACCAGCACGACAGCGTTCGGTTGTATCTTGTTCCCTTTGGCCCTCTATCAGCCCAAGATTCATACAATTGGGCAGATTTGTACACTACATATGGAGGCAAAACTGTCCCATGTACAGTAGCAGCAATCCTTAAAGATGTTGCTGATTTGCTATGCAGCTCGCGATCGATTAATATTCTGTCAGAATCTCTCTGACAACTGATCTTTGTCTCTAGTCAAACAAGATTTTGCGAAGTCCGGTCCTGGCAAATTATTTCTGAACTGTTTAATGGTGGTTCCTTTTCAATCCAGATAATATTTCACTATACAACAAAGGTCAAATTTGTCAATCGGTGCATGCCACTCTGAAGCTATATTTAAATGATTCACAATGATGTTCTCAGATTCCATATCAAGGATAGCTGGGTGACCAACTTGACCAATTTCTGTTCGCTTCGTATGTCGAAACAAAACTGATCTATGCACGCCATATTTTGAAGCAGCCGTTCTGTATGACATACCATTAGCAATATCCCTGAGAGCATTCTGGATGGTCTGAGGATCGTGTTTTTTAAGAGTTTTTGCCCCCAGCTTTGTTTTGTACTTGCGGACCATGGTGTCTCGGAAAGCCCCAAAATCTGGAAAAAATGACACTTTCAGAAAAAAATTCACTCTCACGACAAAAGGAAAAACAAACCAACGGAAAAACTTTAAAATCACTTAATGACACATAAAGCTATTGAAAAATAAAGTAAAACTTACCAATCAAACATTCGCGCACCTGCTGTAAACAAAGTTTTTTGAGGTTAGAAAAATTGCTGAAAACAGCTGATCGGGTTTTAATTCGAATCTCCACCAAGTGATGTCATTAAAATCGCTAAAAGCTGAAAATATTAAAGATAAGGCCCGACAAATTGCATTTATGCCAAAAAACACTTTCCTGTTTAGAAAAAATTGGCAGCCATTATTATCAAATTTCCGGTTTTTGTCTCTTGTAATACCGCAGTCTCTGATAGCCCCGTTTTACGGTACTCAATTTGAAACTGACGATTCTCTTGTGATACTAAACTAAAGCACGTATTCTCCCGATTAGGGTTTTAAAAGCTAATCAATTGATTAATCATGAATAATTTCTGATTTCATAAAATCACTTCGGTCCATTTGAAACAAAAATTTCATAATATGAAAAAACATAAAAACCCTGTATATGCTTCCAAAACGACGACGGAAAGTTATGAATCACATTGGGGGGTGCATTTTATCTGAAAAAAGTATTTCATGTATCATTTAGAATCAAATACCACAAAATGAAACTCTGGAATGAAAAAGATTTTTGGTAGTTTACTGGACCTTTTTGATGTTTGTATTTACCTGTCCTGCTTGTTAGTTTTCTTCAGATCAATGTCTAGGGGTACCTATTTCTATTTAGTTGCTTCTTTCTTATCAGCAGGTTCTTCCTGTAGCGGCTTATCCTTGTCTTTCAGCGTCGATGCGGCACGTGAAGCTTGAGCAGTTATTGGACTATGTGATCTTCTCTGTTAGCAATCGGACACATCCAAAATAAAAATATTCGAAAATTGAACAATTGAACTACGTGAAGCCGCTGTTTTAAAATCATCTGTCAAATATGACATTGTCGCCAACAGTTAACATGAAATTCCCCACTATGTCAACTGTCAATCGACTTCCCAACAATTTTAGGCTTTTTCATAAAATAATGTCAAAGTGAAAGAAAATAGAAAAACTGCAAATTTCGAGATCATCCATACCCATGCCCCACAAAAGTATTTTTTAAAAATTTTCTTCCTAGTCATATACAATGTGTTTGGTTACGACATACCGATATTTAAGGGGGTATTTTTCAGCTATTTTTGTCGACAAATCCACCCCCCTACAATGTTCTACCTCACCCCTCTTGAAATGGCATCCATTCTTATTTTTAATGAAAATTGTAATAACTGAGTACATAAGTGATACAGAACGATAAATTTGGTGTCAATTGAACAATAGCATGTTGTTCTAGCGATTGTTGAAAAAACTTTATTGATACTAACCGTCAAACATACTTAAAAACAGACAAAACCTGAAAAAAAATATGCAAGAAAATAGATTATTTTGTGCATTTCCGCTCATCATTCAAAAATTAGTTTGTGAAGTTGTACTTTTTTGTGTTAATTCTACAGCTATGTTATCTACAAAATGACACCAAATTTGTTATCCTAAGTCTTCTACGTTAAATAATAAATGCTATCTAACATGGGTTAAAGTATACACAAAAATGACAAATCAAAGTTTCTTATAAATAGTTCAACGTCACAAAAAATTCTATGGACGGACGAAGCAAAATTTATGAGGCAGGGGATCATAAACCATAGAAACGACTACTTGTGGTGTTGGGAAACCGCTCTCGCAGTTTGACTGAGCACTTTCCAACAGGAATTTGATGTAAACATGTGGGCCCGAATGATCGACGGAGTTTTAGTCGGCCCGGTTGAGCTACTTCCAAGGTTAGTTGGCCAGGAATTTTTGCTCTTCTTGAGTACCGAGTTTTGAGATCTACGCCACTTATCAACCGCCGTAACATATGGCTGGAGCTCTCACACGCTTTTGCGCTAGAACATTTGGATAGGCAACATTCTCCATGAATAGGACGTGGAGGCACTGTCGCTTGGCCACCCCGATCACCCGATTTAACGCCCCTAGATTATTTTTTCTGGGACACAATGAAGCAAAAAGTCTACTGTCATGTGTCGACGACACGGGAAGAGCTCGTGGAAAGGATCCATACCGCTGCGAACGAAATTAAAGCTGACACTGATATGACCCGCTGCTCAACACGACACATTGTTTTAAGAACTACAATGTGCATAACCAATAATGGAGGGCATTTTGAACAGCTTCTGTAACATTAAACATGTCCAAACTATTTATAAGAAACTTTGATTTGTCATTTTTATGTATACTTTGACCCATGTTAGATAGCATTTATTACTTAACGTAGAAGAAATTTGGTGTCATTTTGTAGATAACATAGTTAGCTGTAGAATTAGCACAAAAAAAGTACAACTTCAGAAACTAGTTTTTGAATGGTGTGCGGAAATGCACAAAATAATCAATTTTCTTGCATATTTTTTTCTGTTTTTGTCTGTTTGACAGTATCAATACAATTTTTTCAATAATCGCTAGAACACCATGTTATCGTTCAAATGGCACCAAACTTATCATTCTGTGACTCTTATGTCTCAGTTATTACAATTTTCATACACGCACTAGCGTAATCGTAACGTAAAAATAAAAATGGCTGCCCTTTCAAGGGGGGTGAGGTAGGACATTGTAGGGGGGTGGATTTGTCGATGAAAATAGCTGAAAAATCCCCCCTCTAAATATCGGTATGTCGTGACCAAACACATTGTATATATATATTTAGATTCCGTATTTCAGAGAGCGGTCCGAGTCGGGTTTTATCGAATTTTTACCAGGAGGAAAATTTAAAATAAATACTTTGTGGAGAACGATTGAGGTTTTTTTATTTTCTTTCGCTCTGATATTGTCGTAAGAAGTGTACAGAGGACCGACAAAAGGTGTCAAGAGGTACAACAATCTATGCCCTTTTTTTGGCATTAGTGTAAATGTTTAACTGTACCGTAAATGTGCAGAAAGAAAATATGTAATTTTATTATGCTTACGTTTCGGCATTCCCACCGGAAGCGGCTGTCTTTTTATTCTAGGATTTCCTCTCCTGAGTCGAGGCGCTAGTGCATTTGAGTTTATGAGGGCGCGGTGGAGTTCGAAGTTACAAACTGATATTCATTATTGATATATATATATATATATATATATATATATCAATAATATGGATTTATTTCATTGAAAACATTTGTACTTACCACATAATAAAACCATTAGGGTATTTATGTTACATTTTACTTTTAAAATGACATGTACCACGTAACTCAAAACACTGACTGCTTTTCATCAAAATATGAACACAACTATTAGAAAATCAAAAATAATGAATTTCGTAATCATTCGTATCACAATTGTTTTTTTCATACACCACAAAGTATGTATCAATGACTTTTTTGATTTTTCTCGCACTTATAAAAATTCGATAAAACCTTCCTTAGAGCAATCTGTTACTGTGAAGATTGCTAGCTAGAACTTACCTCAGGATTATTGCCCAAACTTGGCCAATCGCATGCGCCTGCGAAATCACTAGCCTGGAACAGAGTAGCAGAAAGCTAGAAACGTGCAAAAACATAATCTGGATTCTCTTTAATTAATCACATTGGAATGCTGTCAATGTTCTCCACCGTTACCTCACCGATTTTTAAAACACGGAATGACCTATTTGCACACTACGAACTACCTAGTCAGCAAGTTGGCATTTTGTCGTTTTTTGACATTAAATAGGTTTTTACGTAATAACAGTGTCGACTTTGTCAACTTATGACGTGTTTTGCTGCTCTCTTCCTTTTCGGTACCAGAGTATAACAGCGATATACTCTGGTACTGAATTATATACTAAGTGACATATAAAATGCAACGGCCAGAATTATTTATTGAATTTTGATAAAAACTTGTCAACATACGCTGATAAAATGTTGAAGGCATTCTAAGCCGTACTTTTTCTATAAAGGCTTTTTTTTCATATCAGGATCCGAATAATATGAACATATTTACTTAATATTCAGTGATTTTTCTGTGTTGGTTCCACTTGTTTCATCGTTGTTCCATTGCATTATCATGCATAGAGCTCGCAGACGCGCTAATTTCACTCAACTTTCCAAGTTTGAGAGGGTTCGGATAATCGGGTTACGTGAAGCCGGATTTTCTTTTAGAGAAATCGCTTATCGGGTGAATCGAAACGAAGCTACTGTAATGATATGTTGTCGAGCGTAATTCCAAGAAGGCCGAAATCTAGCACTTAGAAATCGATTTTCAACAACAAGGACGGTTGCGAACCAATGGTTTGATGCTGTTGGACAGTTGATGACAAGAGGAAGTTTATCGCCGAATAAGGTCTTTTGGACTGTTTTCATTCCGTCCCCATCTTGTACTCGCTCAGACCCCACAGCATCGTCGGCAAGGATTGGTATGGAGTAGTGAGAGACTTGAATGATATATGGAATGGAACTGTCGTGTTCAGCGATGAGTCCAGATTCTGTTTGGTCACCCATGATGGCCGTGCAAGTGTAAGGAGGAGACGTGGTGAAAGACGATGTTCCATTGAACGGCATATTCATCGCACTGTGGGTGTTATGGAATGGGGTGCCATTGCTTACGGCAGCAGGTCACGATTTGAGATAGCATGACTGCCCAGCGCTGTATCCACGAAGTTTTACAACCAGATCTGCTTCCCTTTTTAGTAACATTGCAAGATCCACTTTTTCAGCAGGACAATGCACGACCTCATGTCGCACGTGTTAGTTTAGATTTTTTAGAAGCGTCCGGAGTGAATCTGTTTCAGTGGCCTCCTCGATCTCCAGACCTTTCCCCCATCGAACATGTATAGGACATGATGGGAAGAAGGTTGCAAAATTCACCGCACCCTCCACAAAGATTGGAGGCTCTACGAAACCAAATTCAGATGTCCTGGGATACAGTACGCGAAGAAGACGTAGTTCAGTCAAAGCCGCGACGAATTAACGAATGTGTGGCGAACAGCGGAGCTTCAACACATCATCAACATTAAGGTGGGATATCTCAGCTATTTTGCAAAATTTCGAGTTAAAATTGTAATCACTTTCTATTTATAAGTAGACCTAAAACTTGTAAAAGTATGCTCAAAATTACAGAACTCCTAGTCGGTGTTGCATTTTCTATGTCATTTAGTATATATTCCGATATTCTTATTCGAAAACCATATTTTCATCGGACCCGATTTCTTCGAAAACGATCAAGGACAGACTGTAACAGTAAATTCTAATCGTTATACATCAATGCTACGTAACTGTTTCTTTCCACAACTGCATAATTTTGAAGCCTACCATAGCAGGACCTGGTTTCAACAAGACGGAGCGACATCCCATACCGCCAACGAGTCTTTAGCAGTTGTATACGAAATGTTTCATGGAAAACTGATATCGCGACGAGGGGACATTCCATGGAATCCCCGGAGTCCAGATTTCACGCCACTGGATTTTTTCTCCGGGGATACCTCAGGAGCCGCGTTTACGCCAATAAACCGACGACGATTGCCCAGCTCAAGCACAACATTTCCGAGATGTCCGCCATCCCGCGAGCGATGTGTCAGAGAGTTTTCACGAATTTGAAGTCGAGATTCGAGGAGTGCGTACATCTCGATGTTATTTTAAAAAATAAAATTCCCATTGTATAATTTATTAAAAATAAAAATTATCTCCCCTACGCTTTGTAGTTTTTTTCTATGATTTTTTAAAATCCGCTCAACGTAACGGCCCACCCTGTACATAAAACAATATATACACACAAAAAATGTACACCAGAAAACAATTAAATGATGTATAGGGGTACGTTAAAACAAAACACACGGTCGCTTCTATTTGCTCGTCATTGCCTGTCCAGGCATTTATGACCCGCTGACCAACAGGAGCGCATGAATTTGAACATCTCATTTGCTTCAACGGGGCGTAAATGAGACTCAAATGCATAATACTTTCGGTTGTATTTTTAGCGAATTTTCTCTAAACTCGGACTGGCATTCGGTGGGCTGTACTTATGGGCACTCCTAAGCTTGCTTCTTTTTTACGTACTGAAGTACTCGGGACTTCTTCGACTGCTTGTAGTGCAACGTCCCCATCAGGAAAGGAAATTCTTCCTTCACCATGTGCTTGATTTGGGAATCGTTCCTCTGAGAGTAAACGGTGCACATTCACAAAAACTGGGTGATCGGGTTGACGAGCAGCATTCGCGTACCTTTCACGATAAAGCCTAGCTGCAGCACTAACATTGCATCTACATTCCCAATAAATGAGGTGCATGTTGGCGTATTCCTGCACGGTGTACACAGACATGATAGCACTACACAATCATGAGTTAGTAAAAGTGGCGTTACTGTCTTGCTGTCACTAGGTCGAATGACACTGTCCGTCACTCCGTCTAAGGAAAAATTGAAATTTGTAAATCTAGAAAGGTTTCAAAAAGTACACGACATATTTTTCTGGTAACTATTATAACTTGGCCCCATTTATGGCTTGAATTCGACGTTTGGGACACCCTGTATATTGACCAACTATTTATTGTTATAATATAATAAAGTGTTACTATATTCTTTATTGTTATTCCTGTGAATTGAAAAGGTGGGGCGAAGTGGAGGTTATACACTAGAAATAACATTTGCTTTCAGGTCGTTTTTAAATCGTATATTATTTGTTTGAATTGTGACTCGCACTGGAAAAACATAACCAATTTAATATTTTACATGAGTTGATATTTTTCATTTATCGAATGGAAACGTGGAATTTTTTTCGACATAGTACTACCTCTGATTATTACCAAAGAGTTGTTTAAACAATAAGGTACATAAAGTTGAGTATAAAACTAATTATTATCGTAAATGAGCTTTTTGTATTAATGATTGTGAAAGTGCCACTTTTATTGAATACATATTATTTGGTCATTAGGTGCAATCGGAATGTCTGCAAAAAAAACTAACATGCGAGCTTATGGTTCAGAAAAGAACCCTCAATTTATGTATACCTCAATGTTAACAAAGCTCGCGATTCATTGTGGGCTTGCAGACGTATTGTAATTTTTTATGTGGTCACTCTTGCTAATGGCATATGATCGGTTTTCTGCTTTTTCATTATGCAATAAGGATCTCATCCACAAATTTTAGTATTAAGTTTAAATAATTGATTGTGAAAATATATTTCTAAATTTACTTTGTAAGTGATGGAATATATTAATGGTAAAAGTCATTTACATATTTTTATATAAAAAAAGTGACTCGATCCGGGTTTTTTCGAATTAGTATTGTTAGAGAAATATTTGAAAAACGGTTGAAACGTACTTTTTGGCGCTTGGAAAAGATGAAGTGTGTTTCAACAGTTTTAGTATTTTTTTTCGCAGGGATGAAAATCGATAAAACATGAATCTCCCTAAAATGCTATTAAGTTTGTTGTTTACTAGAATACTGGAAAATTGTTAAGGTGTAGTTTCAGAATTTACGAACTCAAAACTTGTTTTGGTTTTGCAGTACGCTACACATAAGCGACAAATAAATGATGGTGTAAAAAACGTGTTTTATTTAAGCCAACGACTTCAAGTTGCTGCACTAATCTGGGAATCACTCAGTCTCAAGCTGCAAGCTTTTATATATGTCACCTTTGAAATGCAGGTATTTGAGGTGTAGGCTTGAATCCCCTACAACACATCTTGCGAGAAAATAGCAGCGTCCTTCTCCTTCCATGCACTGCGGCCTACTGAACGGATTTCAGTAGCCCCTCGTAGTCATTGAAAACGGTGGGCTTTGTGCTGGGTCAAATAACAAAATATATTCATCCGTATACTTCTTATGAATGATTTTAAACTAATTCTTCATTTTAAACTAGACAAGTGTTGAAAACTGCAACATAAAATTCGAGGAGGTATAAAAGAGTGAACACAAAATAAAGTTAGCCAACGCATTATTGAATTCGAAGTTATTTTTATCGGAGATCCGCCATATTTTTGATATGAGTTACTTCGCATATAAATTGAAGTATTACAAAATATGCAACGTGCGAGAGTTGAACTTTTAACAAAAACACGTTACCGGAGATATTTTCGAGAGTAGATATGTGGAGAGGGAATGCAATAAAAGAAGGCAGGAATGGGTTTTTGGAGTTTTTATTCTTTTTGTGTTTTTTAGAGTCATAGGAATACAAAACGTCAACCGCACTTCCAGAGCACGGTTAATTTAAGCTTAAATTACTATAATACATTATTTAAATGCAAGGATATAGACAAGAAAACTTAGAATAAACACGCATTATCACAATTTTTTGTGAATTCCTTAACTAAAAAAAGTATAACTTTCGAGGCAGTGAAGTATGGCAACAAAATACACTGAGCGCCATATTGACATTGGCCCACGTTCTGTAAATAAATTGTGATAACACGGACCTTTGAAGCAAAATTAACCAGTTACACGAAAAATTTTGCTACAGAGAGATATTCCTCTTAATTTTGGATTAGGTAAATGCATTGACAGAAAAGAATCCTATGTTAGAGGCATAGCCTTTGATTATACGTATAATTCACAAATTTAGATCACACAGTCTTACCATTTATTGGTTTAATGGTTTCACTAAAAAATATTGAGATACACCTGAATAACAGTGCTTCATTGTATGTAAGTGCACTGTTGTCTAATCTTTTCAATCTTCAGACTATTGTTGTTTATTTCAAAGTATTTACAAGCGTCTAGAACCTTCCGAATAACAGCTTGAAGTAAAAATATATAAAATGGAAGAACTCTGGGCAAACTCCAAAGATGAAACTCAGATGAAAAGAACAAAAATATGTTAATTTTAATGAGGCCTGTATATGAAACTAGCTACTCGACTGATTTCTTTCAAAACATGCATACTTACGTTTGATTTTGGAAACGGAAAACTATTACTAGTATAAATTAACAAAAATAGGTAGTGAATTATAAAACAAAAAAAAGTCACCTGAGTGATACTATTGGAAACTTTCAAATAAGTTGTAGCACTTACCATATACAAGAGAGCTAAAACTACTTATAAAACTATCACATTTTTTTTCAGAACGCAAGGTAAGTTACAATTAATCCTCTTGTGTACCTTTCAGACTGTGGTACTCATGTTTATTTTGTTTTTGACCCTAAGGTGGCTTGTTTGTACACAAAGAGTGACTAAATAACCTACCTTGAGTGATGCATGGTGATGAGAGAAGACCAGACTGAATTCAAAAATTAAAACATCTCAACAAGTTGGGAGACAGATTGTGGCATCATTTTTGGACGCTGCAGAGTGAAGGAATTTTGGTTCCACATTTATAATCGACCCCGAAGAGAATTTTCAATTTTTTCAGTTTTTACAGTTCTTATTTAAACAAATAAACCATGGAAAAAAAAGAATCACACTTGAAAATTAAAAATACAAAAACTTGTGATAACTGTTACAAACTACTATGAAATGCAATTGATTTGGTCGCATATGCCTTTTTTTCAACTGCCTGTTTCGAGTAGTGTTCTTAGTCATTTTCATCATCTGATTTTGGTATGTGCTAAAAAACAATGTTATCATTTTTTTTTGACAAAAAAGCATTTTTTCTTCAATCAACCCTGAAATTGTATGTGAGAACATTCAACTTATATGGTAGAATGAAGCAGACGATTACTTTTATTATCACTTTTCCTCTAAAGAAAACTTTTTCATTTTTCTGAAACCCCATTTTGCAGCAAATTAAGTTTTCAAGAAAAGCAAAGGTTTTATTAAGAGATAAACTGATGAGAAAACAAGTAACCTGCTTCATTCTCGCATAAAAATGAAATATTCACATACAATTTTAGAGCTGTATTTGTACGATCGAAGAAAAAATGCACAAAAAATGCGTTTTTTGACCAAAAAAAGCAACTGACAACATTGTTTTTCAGCTATCTCTACCCACAACATAAATAATTAAACGAAAAGTATCAAGGATACTTCCAGACACGCTGGTGAAATAAAATGGACATGCCTGATGGTTTTGAATTCAAGGGTTGATCAACCTTCGAGGGTCGACTATAAATGTGGATCTAATATAGTTTTGACAGGCTTGGGTGTAGTGAACTTAGGTTTTTAAGCCCTGTATGTGGACATAAATACTATTGGAATCGGCAATAAATCTATATGAGAAATTGGGTAAGTGCGTTGGCCAGGTTTGTTAGTGATGATCACTGCTCTCATCAAATGAACGCGATTTAGAACATTTAAAATAGAAGAATAGAAATAGTATACAAACATTTAAAATTAAACTGATGTATTCTTATAAAACGAAGCAAATTAAAGACCCTTCAGCTTAAAAGAAACGTATATACATACAAACTTACACAAAAATAAAAAACTCAACCGATGCCAAAGCGATACGTGAAGTCGGTGCGAGTTTTAAAAATAGTGAGCTTTCATATACATGTAACAATAAAATGCTATGCTAGGAGAAAATTATTCTACAACGATATTATACAAAACAAAATTGATACATGCGTTTTTGAGTGACAGTGTATTGCTGCTTATTAACCACACACTTTTTAATACAAAATATATGAAAAATTATTAAAAATATTTAATGCAATGGCACCCCATGCTATTTTCTATACACCCATGACAGTTACAATTTGGTTTTATATAGAAAATGTTCTAGCTAAGATAACATATCAACACGGCTTCAAGCATATATTGACTGGACACGCGAACTTCTAACATCATCGCTTTTTAAATCTTCCTCTGAAATACATTTCGCAGATATTTACAGAAACATTTCAGTTTTTCTTCCATGCCTCAATTCTATAATTACAAGACATTCAAAATTTGCGATCAGTTTTATTATAAACAAATTAGCTGAAATGCACAAAGGCATAAAAATGTAACTGAAGAGCAGAAAACACACCTCTTCTTCCATGTCTCAATTCTATAATTACAAAAAAATTAAAATTTCCTATCAATTATACACCTGAAATGTACAGAAATCATAAATATGGAACGGAACTTGCCTGTAAAATTATCTCATTATGATTCAATCCTATTTACACATATTTCGTGAGCAATATTCTTTAGGACGCCTCATTGCGGTGGAAGCTGAGTACACGTATTTTCAGACCACCTTGCTGTCACATGGACATGAGAGTTGTCACAAATCAAAGAAGGCAGCCTTTTTCAACCTGAGTCGTCCTTATTACCGCCTGTTGTCAATTATTAATTTGACGATTCATGTGGAATGTGTATTTATACACAGACAATACAAAGTATCACGTGAACATTGATCACTAATCTCTTTTACAATGCCAGTGATACATAACTTTCTACAGACGAGCCTTTTGTGCAAAATTGGGGCACACTATATAATTGTGAGTATTTTAGAAATGTGTCCTCGGATACCATGTATAATAACCCATGGTTCTTTGTTAAGATTTTATTTAGGAGCAATACTCCGTCCTTGCATGCTTGGGACCCCGTGTATATAATGGAAATGCTTCATAGGATTGTTAAGAGTCCAGGAGAACTTTTGATCAGGATGCTCTGGAGAGCATATTCCCAAAGTTTGAGCAAGATTCACCGGGGACTTCCGTAAGGTTTGAGACTCCTTTACACATGTAGTAAAGGCGACAGTGATGCAATACATGGGCTTCAGATCTAAAAGACTGCCTTCTTCCTTGAGGAAAATGGCAAGTAAAGGAGCGAATATGCATTCGATCCTCAATGCTGTATTGGGCTAGCTTTACGCAAATTAACAGATACGATAAGTGAAACCAAACAAAAATAACATAAATGATTTGTCGAACTCGATAAGATTGCACGAATCAGTGGGTCACCAGTCTGTAAGCAGTTTTTTTGTTATGGCCCTGCTTAATATAGAGTGGATTGTGAGATTGATACATATGCTGATATCGAGTTGTACATCTTAGCAAGTCTTCTTTAACTGGATGGTTTTTTCTCCGTATCTGAAAGGAAAACATCTGTTAATGATTAATCCTAGTACTAGTACATCAGAACTCAATAACGTGAAATGATTTCGATTTTGAATAAACTTTGTCTGCAAAAAACGGCGTCAAGTAGATTGACTCTATACTTCCTACGCCTTCGTTTGAGGTTTCAAAAACAAGGGGTGAGTCAAGTCGTACCAAAATGCGAAATCGAATCGTGATTAGGTAGGTTCACTTAGGTACGATGAATCTTCAGTCTCTGCATATAAAACTGTATAAAGAAAATCTATCATATTTCTGTTTCCATTGCAAATGTAGGGAAAATATGTTTGACTTATTATGTCTAAGAGGTGCAGAGTATCAGCAGCTTCTTAATAATAAGAAACATGTAACAATTTACAACCATTTACCACATACAGCTTCCCTTGAAGCAATGTCTGAAAATGAGCAGGAATCTCTGAAGCGTTGTAACATTATGTTCCAGCAATTTTATTTCCGCCGCCTTTGAATCAATTTTCAAAATTTACGACTACTTAAACGACGGAAGTATTAAACTCGCGATAATATTCGAACTTTGGTTCACAAGTTTTCTGTTGCTTAAAGATTTGTCATTTATGTCGGATTGTCAGTCCGTGTCTGTTGTATATCAATGCGTCATAAGTACTGAGTCAACCTACTTGACGAATCATCATAGACGAAGTAACATAAATTAATTAAAGGTTAGGCAAAATGGGTGGTACATTTAAGGATCATAAAATGCTGGAAAAATATACGTGTAGATATAAAAACAGTTGCGTCGACATTTACAAAAGCATCGCGGAACGCTAAAGTGGTACGCATTCCTGATATTCAAATTTTGTTAAAATTTAGATACGCTTATTCAGTTAAAAAAAAATCTATGTTTAACAATGATGGAGAAATTATCGGTTACGCTCATAACACAGCGATTATTTATTCAGACAGATTCTTTAAGAAACAAAATTGTATTGGATTCTCAGAAGGTTATATATTTTTTCACGGAAATGATAGTTTCAACAAAACATTTTAATCACCTCCAAATTAAAACATACAATCGATTGATAATTTCAAATATTTACGGGTATTCATAGATAACCATCTAAGATGGCATAACATGTTGGACATTTAATAGGAAAATTAATATACCAACATTTCAGCAGTTATTTGAGCGAAACACATGATATGGTTCTTGACGTATTTTCCCCAGTTCAAGTGACTGTCCACATGAAAGCCAATATATTGCATAGATAGATAGAACCAGTCTTCAATGTACTGCAATTTCTTGACCAAGGTCTTCAAGTTTGCTTCCACAAAGAGACGTTGTGTCATCAGCATATAGCACTGAACGTTGAGTGTTGTATTTGAAGATGTCGTTAATACAAATTGTAAACAAAGTGGAACCTACAATGGAACCCAGGGGTACCCCTAACCTAACCGTCTAAATTTTTCTTTGTGCAATGCTACGTAAAGTGTTCTGTCATCTAAGTACGAAGATACGAGGGCGATCCGATAAGTACTTACCTGATGGCGCCATTATCGTAAGAGAAATTTACTATCGTGTTTGACGCTGTTCAAGCGCGAATCATGGATCCACTGGAACACACCAGAAACCAAGGAACAGTCGAAACGGTTGACTTTTCCTATCGGCCGGAAAGGTGGCCACCGTTTTCTGGGATTCACAAGGTGTGATCTACATCGACTTCCTGGGGAATGACAAAACGGTCACAGTGCTCTACTATGCCGGATTATTGGGCTGATTCGATGCCGAATTGCAAGAATAAAACGGCCGCATTTGGCATTTCGGGAAGAAAAATGTGTTCTTTTACAATGACAACGAGCCGGCTCACACCTCCGCCGTCGCCACTGCCACATTGGTCCAATTAGGCTACGACCTTCTGCCCCATCCACCGTATTCTCGAGATTTGTGACTGTATGACTTCTTTTTGTTTCCAAACTTGAAAAAGTCACTCGCCGGGCAGAAATTTTAGTCGAATGAGGAGGTTACCGCCGCCACGGAGTCCTAGCAGGCAAGCCTCCAGAAACCGTATTTTTCAGACGAGTTAAAGAAGTTGAAGCATCGCTGGGCCAAGTGTATCGAGCTAAAAGGAGACTATGTTGAGAAATAAATCACCACTTCTCCAAAATCTTCGTTTTTATTTTGTAGTCTATGTACTTATCAGACCGCCTTCGTATAAGTTGAAGACTGTTATTATGAAAACCATATCTGGACAGTTTTTCCACCAGTAAAACATGGAAAATACAGTAAAAATCTTTCGTTAGGTCGAAAAAAGTTGCCCTTTAGTTATAGTAGGCATGACAGCCGGTGCACACGGACGTGTTTTGACAGTGTTTTTGAGAGAAGTTCACACGAGCCTTCAATAACGCATGCAGTTCTCTCGACGCGACGCAAGTAACAAGATGGATTTGGATCATGAAAAATGTGTTTTATTTGCATATAACGTATACAGGGTGACGGGAAAGTAGATGCCGAGCCGGTGGGGGGAGATAGTACAAGCCAATCTGAGTCGATTTGACTATAGGAACTGCTGTCCGAAAATTAGCCGTTTTCGAATTATACTAATATTTAAGATTTTATAAAATTAACGTCCTTTATACGTTAACCAAGTCATAATACTTGAAAATTGGGTGTTTCATTTGATTTTTTTTTGTTTTACAATAAAAGTATTCTAAAATACGAAAATTGATACTCAAATGTGCATTATTGGCGTTATCTCATGCAGTAAACTTTAAAATAGTTCGATTTTTGTTAGAAAAATCTTCGTTCATCTCAAAAGCTTCAGTTTACTAGAAAAAGTCGCATACACATTTTTCGTACAAAATAGTTAGAAAACATCTACGTTTCATTACCTTTCAAATGATTTATAAAAATCACATGTCGATTAAGAATTGGCAACAATATGACTATTATAAAAGGAGGAAGGAAAAAGCAATAAAAATACTACACTTACAAAATCATACCTTAATACAGGATCATTTGTTTGAAACTACATTTTTTTATTTTTATAATACATTTTTAATATGGTGCCCTCTATTTCTAATGCACACACGTGCTCTTCTTATGACAGCTGATTTTACTACCGCCGAATTCCCAAGAGAGGCTTGAATTTCTTGTGCTGCATGTATTATCCTGTTTCTGAGGTCTTCTATTATGGCTACAGGATTTTGATCAGAGTGTACTAAGGTTTTCATGCGACCCCACACAAAAAACTCCATAGGTGTGAGATCGGGACTGCCATGGCCAGCATTGGTCCGCCTCTACCGATCCATCGATTCGGAAACTGCTCATTTAACCAATTTCTAACACTTAGTCTGAAATATGCTGGGCACCCGTCATGCTGAAAAATCATTCTGTATCTTGTGTGTAGCGGCACGTCTTCAAGTAATTCAAATACAACATTTCTTAAGAAATTTTCGTAGAATAGAAGACCTCAGAAACAGGATAATACATGCAGCACAAGAAATTCAAGCCTCTTTTAGGAATTCGGCGGTAGTAAAATCAGCTGTCATAAGAAGAGCACGTGTGTGCTACGACTGACAGAAAACATCACCAGCGGCTTCAATCTCCAGGAGGCAACCGGCCTCGTCCTGCTGGACGTGGAACGAGTCTTCGATCGAGTTTGGCACGATGGACTCATCGCCAAAATGGAAGCCGCCGGAATCGATGCGAACATGTGCCAACTGATCCAGAGCTATCTAGCACAAAGATGGTTCACGGTGAAGATTGGTACATGCCATTCAACAAGACGACAGCTGGAAGCAGGCGTGCCCCAGGGGTCAGCCTTAGCCTCCCCTGCTCTACAACATCTATACTCGATGTGCCGAAGACAGCTGTCACAATGCTGGCCCTATATGCAGACGACACTGCTATAGCCGCCAAGCATCGACGACCCGAGATCATCCGTAGGAGACTACAGGATGAACTGGACCACATCCAGGACTGGTGCGTGAAATGGAAAATCCGCATCAACGTCCAGAAGACGCAGGCAATCTTCATTCAACGAAGAAGGATTGCAAGACCTCTCGAAGCATCCATCTTCGACGAAGATATCCAGTGGAGCGACAAAGTCAAATATCTGGGGATCGTATTTGACAAGTCCCTCACCTGGAAAGCCCACATAGAAGCTGTCATCGCAAAGACCAGAGCAGCCATGGCTCAACTCTACCCATTACTGGGTAGACACAGCCGGATGCCGCTAGCGACTAAGCTACGGCTGATCAAGGCTATCGCCAGACCTCAGCTCGCTTACGCCTCCGCGGTCTGGGGGTACGCTGCCCCCAGCTACCGCAAGCAACTTGCTGCTCTAGAGATGAAGCTACTCCGGATCGCCACCGGTGCACCATCCTACGTAAGAAACTCAACCTTGCGTAGAGACCTGCATTGGGACACCATTCACGAGTACATGAGGAAAAAAGCGGAGAAGACCTTCCAGAAAGCTCAGGACCACCCGAACGAGCAGCTACGATTCCTCATGGACTACGATCCGCACGAGAGGCCTCGCAACCGCAGAACCAGGTACCCTAGACCAAGGTCCAGGTTGGCACCCGCTAACTGGAACCTTGACTAGGAGACTAGGAGAACCCGCGGTTGCTCCCCCCCCCCCCCCACGGCGTGGATGCAGAGGACCAGGAACCACCGGGACCAGGACCAACCAGGACCAGGACCCGCCACGACCAGGACCCACCAGGACCAGGACCCTTCAGGACCAGGACCAGGAACAATATATAGGTAAGAGGACTTGAAACTCTTGATTTTTCGAAAACAAGAGTTTCAAGGGACCCTAGCAGACCCTCTATCGATGATCGCTTAACGACATCGATAGAATGTGCGAGGTAAAGGGAACCAACCCGGCGTTCCCAGAGACTGAAACACATGAGGAGACGTTGTAGCAGACCGCAGGTCACGCACAACACATGGCCTACCGAGACGCTGATGAGTCGGGCCATGCGGAGGTTAGGGTTTAGTGGGTATTAGGTGGTCTCCTCAAGACAGCCTGGAGCCCCACACATGCCGTAGCTCGGGCTATGGTATGGTGCGTAAACGCATTCCCCCCTCACCAAAAAAAAAAAAAAGAAAAAAAAAACATTAGAAATAGAGGGCGCCATATTGAAAATGTTATGTTATATGTTAATTATAAAAATAAAAAAATGTAGTTTCAAACAAATTATCCTGTATTAAGGTATGATTTTGTAAGTGTAGTATTTTCATTGCTCTTTCCTTCCTCCTTTTGTAATAGTCATATTTTTGCCAATTCTTAATCGATTTGTGACTTTGATACCTCATTTGAAAGGTAATGAAACGTAGATATTTTAAAATTATTTTGCATCAAAAATTTTTTAGGTGATCGTTTCTAGTAAATTGAGTTTTTGAGATCAACGAAGAATTTTTTTAACAAAAATTGAACTATTTTGAAGCTTATTGCATGAGATAACGTCAATAATGTACATTTGAGTATCAATTTTCGTATTTTAGGATATTTTTATTGTAAAAAGAGAAAAAATTAAATGAAACACCCAATTTTCAAGTTTTATGACTTGGTTAACGTATAAAGGACGTTAATTTTATAAAATCTTAAAAATTAGTATAATTCGAAAACGGCTAATTTTCGGACAGTAGTTCCTATAGTAAAATCGACTCAGATTGGCTTGTACTATCTCCCCCCACCGGCTCGGCATCTATTTTCCCGTCACCCTGTATAAGTATCATATTTGTAAAAAGAAAAGAAAATACTGGGTACACCCTTATGTGAGTGTCCGTGCATCAAAAGGAGCATTTGTTCGTGATTTTTCGGATCTGAAAAATGACGAGGATAAGTTCAATTATTTTAGAATGAGTTCCAAATCGTTCGACGCATTACGTGATGTCTCCCCACCTCTTCAATCAATATTTCAGTGTCTATATCAACGTCCATCATTTTCAACGTACTACTTTCCGTCGCTCGTGTGCACTCAATGATATAATCTAATGTACCGCTTGCGGCGAAGGAGTCAACGCACGTCGGGTTTCAACGGTGCGTTACCGGCGAACGTTGGACGTCGACATCCTGCTTCGACGTCCCGTGTGAATTGATCCATTTACGGCAATGTATTCCCGTAACATGAGTATTTTAACGTTTGCGTTACCGCACCGGCTGTAAGTGGTTTAAGCTTTCAGTTGAATTGGGTTCTGATGGAACATGTTAATTAATACTTCAAGTGATCAACTGGCTCACCTGCAGTAGCAGAGGCTCCGTTTTCCTCCTGCTCGCCGGAATTACTTCTGCGACGTGGGGTAGATGCACCGGTAGGATTAAACATGCTTATATCAGACCCAGTCGACTCAGTATGTGTCCGGGCGTACCTAGAACCAGTACCAGCTAGACCACTCGTGCTAGGTTGAGGCTGGTTCTCCTTGCCACTCCTGTAAATTTTGTTTTCAATAAATACGTTGATATTGTCATTATTAGGAGGATTTTTAACACTTGTAGATGTGTACATTTAGGGGTCTCGATGCAAACAACCCATTGTTACGAAGCGACAAAACTTTCTACACTGGGGTAATCTAGGACGCTGGTTTTGGATATGCTATTTTCATATATATTAAAGTAAGATCTATAAAGCCTAACACTACATGTTTTAAATGAGACATATCAACATGTCAGCCCAACAGTATGGTGACATTTTACGCAATAACTTGAATAACAGTGATGAAAAAATGGGGATCAATGAAACATCTATCATCTATCTTTTAGCAGGATAATGAACCTAAGCGGACCGACTGAAACAAAGGAATGGTCACTTTACAACGTTCCTGCAGAATTATCCAATCTGTTCAAACTTTCTAATAAGGATACGACAGTTTTGTTAGATATCTGTCTGTTCATCGTGATAACATACGTGAAACCGTCGTTGCAATGCACTTTAGCGGTATAAGCACTTAACCATTATTTATGCTTCTTAAAGGCAATGAAGGCTCACAAAAGAATTGAAAAAAATATTTCAAAGGAAGCTTCACAAAAGATCTGCCAAGATTTATGGTGTTTGACAGATGAGGTCTCTGTCTTATCTTTGTTTGACGACGGCGTCGATGAGGAAACTAAAGTAATATGTTTTGCTAATTTACACAAAGTCCATCAGACCACGGTAAACGTTACATCCCATAGAAACAAGAACTTTCTGGCCCACTTTATGGTAAGTCTGACGAATAAATAGTCGTTTGTCTTCCTTTACTACTTCGATCTAATACATTAACTGTTAAAATAAGCCAGCGTAAACTGCGATTCTGGCAATAGATGTCTTGTTTCGATAGATCTTATACCTCAGATAGATGTATAAATATCTAGAAATTATAAGATACAAATAAAGCAGGGTTTTATTTGTCGAATACAAATTAGGTTTTGAAATCCATACATGGTTTCCTTATGAACTTTCGAATTCGAAGATTGACCAAAAATTATCGTTCCCCGATCGCAATAATATTTATTTCGTGAGTTAGAGTCAAATGGAAAACATTAGAGGATATGCGTATCTCGATTCGAACAAAAATTTGTTTAACTGGCTGGGACACCCTAATGAATGTACATAAAAATATCTTTCCTTAGTGAATGCGCATCCCATTTCAAAACTTCTAGTTTATTCTAAACACACTTTCAGCTACAATTATCCTCATCAGCGAAGACATTTTCCGGAAGTTTAACCCAATGTATCGTGCGCGTGATTCTTAATAGAACGGTGTAAAAAATTAAGTGACTTCAAGATCCTACATATCATCAGAGGGCGCACTCGCACATGGTGTGTCTACCAAATCCGGTGCCGCGCGTGATGCTAGGCAAAATCGGCAACACCGTCGTATTTGTTGGCTCCCCCACCACCGATCCCAACAAGAAGCGCCTATCTACGATGCTCAGTACCGGCCCGACATCTAAGCGCAAGGGAGCGCTCCATCGCCGTCACCGTCAGGTGCGAAATTCGTGCGGTCATCCGATTTTTGCACGTAAAAACGTTACCACCTATAGAAATTCATCGCCACCTGAGTGAAGTATATGGGAAAACGTGCATAAGCACTCAACATGTCCTCAAATGGTAAAGAGACTTCTTTGACGGCCGTAAGGACATCCACAATGAACAGCGAAGCGGAAGACCGTCGATCTCCGCGGAAGTTGTGGCGAAGATTGAGCAAATCTTGCTCGAAGATCGGCGAATCACGATCCGGAAATAGGTGGTTGAAATTTCCGAGGCTTCTGAAAAAGCTGAGACGGGCAATCCAAAATCGTCGTAGAGGAAATCTCACCAAAGCGTAAGACTGCACCACAACGGTGCGCATCCTCATGTCTCGCAACAAATGAAGGACTTAATCGAGCGATTTGGCTGGGAAGTCATTGCCCATCCCCCTGACAGCCCTAACATAGCGTGTCCGAAATTGAAGTAGCAGCTAGGCGGTCAACGGTTCGAGACGGACGAGGAGGTGCAAGAAGCAGTTACCAAGTTTCTAAACGGGCTGGAGTGCAAAAAAGAATTTCACGTCTAAAAAAAATGCGTAGAAAAGAATGGCGACTATGAAGAAATAATAGTTTAAACAGCAACGTTTTCAATAGTGACTTTGTTTTTTCAAATAAAAAATTCCTCGGCATGAAAAAATGTGGGAACCATAGTTTTGAAACAACCCTCGTATTATGAAAATCTTGTACAAATACATCAGATCACGAAGCTCATATTTGACTATACAGATATTCAGAAAGCTCCGATGTGGAAAAATTGTTACATAGGAGGTTTCACCATAACAACGACGATAGGCTTATATAAGCGCTTAAAGGCCTTTATATGTAAATTTCTGCAGTTCATTACTATGAAGCCATAAGCCACCAATGATTCTTACTTTATTTTATTTATATGCTCACCAAAAGTTTTATTCATTCTATTCATCTTTTGATCAAACATACGTAAATCATCTTCTTGGCATATCAATAGAATACGGATATTCACAACGAATCTTTCTCCTAGTGTAACTGACTATTTTTGATACAACCATCAGGAGTACTTATACGCGAAGATTTTCCGGAAATTTTAACCGATTTCCAAAATCCAATGCATCGTGTGCGTGATCCTCTACACAAGAACGATATAAAAAATTAAGTAGTTTAAAAATCTTACGTATCGTCAGAGGGCCGCCTCGCACCTGGTGCGGCCTTTCGCTGCCGTACTCGCTTCTTGGGAACAAATTTGTTTCTAAAACGGACCCGGTTAGGATAAACCGGTGGAATTGGAGCTGGTCTTGGATCAAACGTGATTGGATGTGGAACCCAATTTGGAGCGATCACTTCACTCGGGAGCACAGTAGGATAACCAAAACGAGGTGGTCTAGGAAATTGAGGCTGGTTCATCATACTGAAAAAGGAAGGTAGGCATGTGATTCTCCAATTCTAATTTCAAAGGTCTACACGAAAATTTTTTAGCGTTTGGATTTTCTTAGCTTTAATTTATCCAAGGATTGTAGAGCAATAAATTGAATTATTGAACAGTTAGTAAGCAAATACTAATGACGCAAAGCAACTATTTTGTTTCAAACGACTACACAGTTGCTCATTGATTCCACCTCTCGCTGGATATGACGCGCCAATCCTGAACAAAACAAATTTTGAAAACAACCGCTATACTGTTTCAATAGCTGTGTTATACCATTCATAGTAAGGGTATGAAATAATACTGCAATATTCAACTTCTGAACAAACATATGCATTATATAACAGCTTAATATATGTTTATGTTATTATACAGGGGTTTTCAAAGTTGATTCAATTATTTTAACTGCTTGTAGGACAAAAATCACCTATATAAAAGTTGCATAATAACATTAAGACAAGAACAGTATCATTATCAACGGGTACAAGCGCTACAACCTGAAAATCATCCTAGAAGAGTTGCATTTTGCCAGTGGCTTTTAGAACAATTCGTCAGGAAGAATATTTTATGAAATTAATTTTGTATACAGATGAGATCACATTCACCCGAAATGGGGTGCACAATTTCCATAAGATTCATGTTTCGGAAGTATAAAATCCCCATGCTGCAAAAAGAATGTTCAGCATACGTTTTTCATTGATGTTTGGGCTGTCGTATGTAGTTCCTACATGATGGGGACTCACCACATTTTAGACGAGAAGTTAATGAACATCTAAATAATGATTTTCGGGAAAGATGGATACGGCGAAATGGACCCATTTCTAGGCCTGCTCGCTGTCCAGATTTAACGCCTTGCGTTTTTTTTCTGTGGGTCGATTTGGAAGAGTTGGTCTACCGTGATGGAGCTGTAAATACACTGGACGAACTCCAACAGCGCACTGAAAATGCTTGTCATTTAATACACCAGGATTTTATTTTCGAAGCTTGTAAAAAGTTGTAGATTCGCCGAGCAAGATTTTGGGTTAATCGAATAGAGACAATTTTCAACACTTTTTGTAAGAGTGGCATCAATTTAACTTGATAATGATTTTCCTTAAATAGTTTATTGATAATGTGAACTAACTCTCTAATTATGCAACTCTTATATAGGCGATTTCTGGTACATCAACTTCTTTTGGCGAGTTCTACAAGCTGTTAAAATGACTGGACTTTGAAAACACCCAGTATCCTATAGTACGCTTATGAAATACTTCATACTTTATATATATTTTTTTATTATGTTTATATTAATTTTAGTTTAGGTTATAATATTTTTAATGGCTCCTGAGCACAGAGGGATTAATCCCCCTCTCAACAGGTTTTTGCTATGTATCTCCTTTTGGAGTTTAGTAATGTAAATTTTCTATGCCAATAAATAGATAAATAAGAGCTTAAAGGCCTTTATGATATGTAAATTTCTGCAAGTTCCTTACTATGAAGCCATAAGCCACCAACGCCTTTTACGTTTTGGTGACCAACAGTTAAATTTTGATTAAACATACGTAAATCACGTACATCAGATCATCTTCTTGGCATATCAATAGAATACGGATATTCACATCCAATCTTTCTCCTAGTGTAACTGACTATTTTTGATACAACCATCAGGAGTACTTATACGCGAAGATTTTCCGGAAATTTTAACCGATTTCCAAACTCCAATGCATCGTGTGCGTGATCCTCGACACAAGAACGGTCTAAAAAATTAAGTAGTTTAAAAATCTTACGTATTGTCCCAGGGCCGCCTCGCACCTGGTGCGAGAGGTCGCTGCCGTGCTCGCTTATTGAGAACAATTTGGTTTCTAAAACGGATCGGGTTAGGATAAACCGGTGGAATTGGAGGTGGTCTTGGATCAAAAGTGATTGGATGTGGAAACCAATTTGGAGCCATCATTTCACTCGGGAGCACAGCAGGATAACCAAAATGAGGTGGTCCAGGAAGTTGAGGCTGGTTCATCATACTGAAAAAGGAAGGTAGGCATGTGATTCTCCAATTGTAATTTCAAAGGTCTACATGAACATTTTTTAGCGTTTGGATTTTCTTAGCTTTAATTTATCCAAGGATTGTAGAGCAATAAATTAAATTATTGAACAGTTAGTAAGCAAATACTAATGACGCAAAGCAACTATTTTGTTTCAAACGACTACACAGTTGCTCATTGATTCCACCTCTCGCTGGATATGCCGTGCCAATCCTGAACAAAACAAATTTTGAAAACATCCGCTATACTGTTTCAATAGCTGTGTTATACCATTCATAGTAAGGGTATGAAATAATACTATAATATTCAACTTCTGAGCAAACATATGCATTATATAAAAGCTTACTATATGTATATGTTATTATACAGGGTGTTTTCAAAGTTGATTCAATTATTTTAACTGCTTGAAGGACAAAAATCACCTACATAAAAGTTGCATAATAACATTAAGACAAGAACAGTGTTATCCATATCATTATCAAGGGTACAAGCGTTACAACCTGAAAATCATCCTAGAAGAGTTGCATTTTGCCAGTGGATTTTAGAACAATTCGTCAAGAATGATAATTTTAGGAAATTAATTTTGTGTACAGATGAGGCCACATTCACCCGAAATGGGGTGCACAATTTCCATAAGATTCATGTTTGAGAAGTATAAAATCCGCATGCTGTAAAAAGAATGTTCAACATACGTTTTTCATTGAATGTTTGGGCTGTCGTGTGTGGTTCCTACATGATGGGACTCACATTTTAGACGAGAAGTTCATGAACATCTAAATAATGAGTTTCCGGAAAGATGGATATGGCGAAATGGGTCCATTTCTAGGCCTGCTCGCTGTCCGGATTTAACGCCTTGCGTACCGTGATGGAGCTGTGAATACTCTGGACGAACTTCAACAGCGCACTGAAAATGCTTGTGATTTAATTCGGGGAGTCCAGGATTTTATTTTCGAAGCTTGCAAAAAGTCGTGGATTCGCCGAGCAAGATTTTGCGTTAATCGAACGAATGGGGACAATTTTCAACACTTTTTGTAAAAGTGGTATCAATTTAACTTGATAATGATTTTCCTTAAATAGTTTTTGATAATGTGAACTAACTCTCTAATTATGCAACTCTTATGTAGGCGATTTCTGGTATATCAACTTCTTTTGGCGAGTTCTACAAGCTGTTGAAATGACTGGACTTTGAAAACACCCTGTATCTTATAGTACGCTTTATACTTTATATATATATATTTTTTTATTATGTTTATATTAATTTCAGTTTAGGTTATAATATTTTTAATGGCTCCTGAGCACAGAGGGATTAATCTCCCTCTCTTCAGGTTTTTGCTATGTATCTCCTTATGGAGTTTAGTAATGTAAAATTTCTATGCCAATAAATAGATAAATAAGAGCTTAAAGGCCTTTATGATATGTAAATTTCTGCAAGTTCCTTACTATGAAGCCATAAGCTACCAACGCTTTTTACGTTTTGCTGACCAAAAGTTAAATTTTGATTGAACATACGTAAATCACGTACATCAGATCATCTTCTTGGCATATCTATAGAATATGGATATTCACATCCAAACTTTCTCCTGGTGTAAATGACTATGTTTGATAAAACCATCAATGTGAAATTAAGTTACTTCAAAATCTTACGCATCATAAAAGGGCGCCGGTATTTGCATCATGGGAATGTCTTGGTCAACACTCTGTATCGGGTAAGGATAAGGTGCTGGAAATAGAGTTGGATCTGGTGCAAAAACTGGATGTGGAGCCTGCACTGGGGCCATCATTTCAGTCGGGAACTCATCGGGAATTGGAGCCTGGTTCATCGTACTAAAAAAGGAAGGTAGATATGTGATTCTCCATTTCTCATTTCAAAGGTTTCCTTGGAACTCTTGGCTCTAAGCTAGAGATGTTTGAAGTTACTTTTACCCCCGGAATAGATCAAACGTCCATGGTTTTCAAACCAATGAACGGGCAGCGAAAAGCAAAAGTTCACCACTTGTTAACCTTCCAAGCTTTTAAGAAAATCGTATAAAAATAAATTTTATGTTTAAATGTATTTAAAACAATCATTAGAGGTAAAAATACTCGTAGCCTATTAATGAAATATCACGAAAACCTGTCGACCTAAACAAGCGCCTAACGTCATACCCTGGGCCACATGTATGTAGATAAAAATACGAACCTCCTTAATTGATGCTCATACCATTTAAAAACTTCTGATGTATGTATGTTAACACGTCGACTGTCAACTACGAGATAGCTTGTAGATTGCGTTCTTTTCCAGGTCGTCAATTACGAGTTATATCGTCCTCTGTATACCTGCCATTTATATGCAGCTACGAGCCCCTTCCCACTTCAGTTGGCCCACTTCAAGATTTGTACCAAAATATGCCTTTATAAACTAAACATGAAACTATTTACTTCTAAAACAATTTATTTTCTCAAAAACATTTTAGATACACTCTAGTCGTAAAAAATACATATTTGAAATCACTTAGACCTATAACTAATAGAACATCACCTTTATTTTTTATTACGGCTGAAATTCTTTGGGACATAGTGTTAACCAAGTTTTGGCAAAAATTTGGCGTAAAACAATCTCATATTTCTTGAAGCTTTTGTCTCAGTTCGGTGATTGTACGAGCAGGATGTTGTCGTAGAACCTTTTTCATCTCGTGCCACAAAGTTTCAATAGGTGACAGATCTGGACTGCTAGAAACCCATTTCAAAAGTGGTACATTATTTTCTTCCATCCATTTTATAGCCTTTTTTGAGGTATGGCACGCTGCAACATCTTGCTGAAGCAAAAAATCTTGGCCGGATGTCAAACATTCTTCCATCACTGGTAAAAGCGATTCTTCTAAAATTGCCAAATATTTGTTTGTATCCACATTTCCATCAATAAAATGAAGTTTTCCTACTCCTTTTGATGACATACTGCCCAGACCATAATGGATACTGGAAATTTCACTTTTCTCTTCAGACAGTCAACATGGAATGCTTCACTTTTTTGCGAATAACTCTACTGCGACTGTCACCAACACAGACTTCGAATCGGGCCTCATCACTCCATTGTATTGCACACCATTGTTGAGGTGTCCATGGTCTATGTTCTTTAGCCCATCTAAGCCGATTTTTCTTTTGCAGTGGAGTTAATAGTGGGTTTTCTTTGGCCTATAAACAAGTTGTGCAACTTTTGGGTTTTTACTTCACTTTTTTTTATAAGAAAACTTACCTTGCAAGTGCTAAATCCCAGTTTGTGGGCCTCTCTATGAGTTGTGGACTTCGAAATTCTCCTTCCAACAGCGTCACTCCACAGAGCACTTAGTTGTAAATAATTGGCACGCCTGTTTTTCACGATTATTCTTCTTAATGCTCTTCGGTCGGCATTTGTGATATTACTTTTTTCACATATCGTGGTTTAATATTAACTGAACCAGTTACGGTATATCTTCTAACAATATTTCTCACACTGTAGCGCGATAAGTCTAACAAAGTTACGATTTCTGAGTTTGATTTCCCAGAATTAAAAAATTTAATTATCAGTAACCGAATTTTCTCACTAATAACCTTTCCTCTACCAATTTTGAAAACCTTAACTACCCAAAACTATTTTAAACGTATTCTGACAGCTGTGATTAATAAAAACAATTGTCATGGCTTTTATTTTTCACAGCCACCTATGCGTTATAGACTTATTTTGCATTGAAATGAAAATAGGTTGATATGCTGTAATTGCAACACGTGTTATTTTTATGCCGCAAATTTGATTAGGGAGTGATAAAGTTGGTGTTTTCTACTATATATTATCAAAATATTAATTGTTAATATTTTAAACCTATAACACCCTGCTACTTTTTTATTATTTGTGTTTGATAAGAAAAAAACTAGAATTTCAATAGTTGGGCCAACTGAAGTGGGAAGGGGCTCGTACGATTAAACTCGGAATATATCAGTGGTAATATCGAAAATGGCTTCTGGGAAAAGAACAAAAAATTAATGCTGGCTTACATGAATAGAAAATTTATTAAAAAACGAAAAGGAAATATAGTTATCTAATTCAAATCCAAGAAATAGAATAATATAATGTGATTAAATCAAATTGTCATTTTAGGCCAGATTTCTGATGCCAGTCAACGTGTTAAACAACTTTAGGGTATATTTTGTATGTTGTCAAAGTTTTTGTTTGAAATGTTTACTTCCGGTTTAGCACCTTGAGTTTTTTTTTACTTCAGATTTGGAGTCATTATCAAAAAGTACAGAACATTTATTATAGTTAACGATATGTTTCATATCCAAAGATAACGTTCGAACAGGCCCAATATGAACGGATTTTAAAACCTCACTATTTTTTCGCTATCAGCTGAAGTGCCCCGTGTGTCAATACCTTTTTGAACCACTGTACGTTTCTAGCAAAAAAAGCATTTTACTAATAATAATCCCTATTCAAACAGGTTTGCACCCAATCACAGGAACATCCAATAATAAAAACATGAATGAAAAAGATTATTACAGGAAATAAAAACATAAACATGAATATGAATTATATTAAAATTGACACAAAAATATATATAAAAAAAAACGGCTCCACTTGCAAAAAAAACATCACTGGTCGAGTACCGCATATGTTTGCTTGAAACTGCTTAAAATCAACTGAATAGTATCGTTATTGATATCGCATTCTTGACAATAAGAGTCAAGCACATCACAGCCTGGTGAAAATCCTGAGGTTCTACTATTTTACTTTTATCATACCTCGTGAATATTCGCAAATATCTTGCCGTTCTAAAACTTGTGTGTAAGACTTGAACAATATATTCTATGCGAAATTATGTTAATGTCAAAAATTACTTCCTGCGACTTAGTATATCATCCATTTTTAGATTCTGTATCTGTGTAACGTTTGCGAATAATACATAATTTATGTGGTAGATTGATTTTCAACCTACGAATGTATGATCATATTTTGAAAAGGTCATTTTACAAAACGCATTTAACACATGAATGGACAAGGAAATAAAAACAAACATCAATATGAATGACAGTAAAATGACGCAAAAAACATATATATATCTAAAAGTTACGGCTCCATTAGCAAAAATAAACATTACTGGTTAAGAACTGCATATGTTTTCTTAAAACTGCTTAAAATCACCTGAATGCTATCATTATTGATGTAGCTTCCTTGACAATAAGTGTCAAGTACATCACACATCCTTTCAACAGCAGTCATGTCCGATATCTTGGTTCTACCGCTAGCGCTGTAAAAAGTTGCATTTGAGCGATCTGATATCTTTAGAAAAAATACGACTTATCAATGACTTTCTCACGGGTTTTGATCGAGCTTGCTTATATCCAGGAATTGTTGAAAATCTCCGTCAATAGTATTTTAAACTTTTAAAGTTTCTCATTGCAAACTTCCAATTTTCGTCTCCCGTTACAAGTAAACGAGACCATCGAGTATACTGAAACTGGGATAATTTGGGACGCTGATTTTGAATATGGTCATGAAAAAGTTAGTGTATTGAACCCTCATTTGGAATAAGTGAAAAACAAAATCATATCAAATTCGTGATATACGCACCCGATTTACAAGGTTATGGTCGAGATTGCAAACGCGCAAGAATTTTGGGATATTTACCTTCTTCAATCGCATATCTTTAAGCAATGATCCAGGTGATTGAACAAAATAAAAATTACCTTTGCACTGTCGTCGCCGATGGTCTTCTATAGTATGGTGTACCAGATTCACCTGTCTGGCTTTCAGAAACAGGCATGGCTTCATTAATTTCTGGCTGAAAAATAGAATCTCATTTGATAAGGAGCAGCAGAACCATGTATTACTAAAATACAGATTTTATTGACTCAATCTTTGCACTGATCAACATATTCCAACCTTATGCTTCATTTGGACGTTCACGTGTAGTTTCTATCTTCATAGTCACGTCACCAAGTAGGATTGCACGAATTCCGCTAGATATAGTAAAAAAGACTATATTATCTTTTTAATGCGTTCTTAAACATGATATCAACCCTCCAAGGAATGATCACCCCTCAACCTCTCAAGTAGTTATTTGTTGTTATTTTCTCAGAATTTCTAAACGGAGGAAACGCGAAAATGAAATAACCTGCGGCATAATAATAATCATAAACGTCACCTAGCCCCCTTAAAAATACGAGATGTATAAAAACTAAAATTTTAGTTATTTCAACTAAACCACACACATACAGGGTGTTAATTAAGTATCAGCCATACATTTAACAGACGATTGTTGAAATAGTTTTAAGACAAAAAGTTCATATAACCATGGGTCCTTAAATTCTTGATGCTCAAGATACACAGGGTTTTAAAATTAAAAAAAAAATAGTGAAAAAGCCCACTTAATTGCATATCCCTGGACCACAGAGGAAATATGCAATTAATCTTTATTTTTTTCTCTGGAAAACTAATCAGAATTGGAAAAAAATTCAAGAGACAAAAAATGTTGTATCTTTAGTCCAAAGAGCATAATAAAAATTGCACAACGTCAGTGGCGTACATTTTTTGTCACAAATATTCGTTTTTTGTTCTTATTACAGTTGTTTTGTTTATTTTAAAGACATGTATATACATATACTTTTTGAATGTCCCCAGTTTCTTTAATATATTCAGTTTTCATTAAAAACACGATTTTTGTTGTATTTCTTTTATTCGGACACACCTTTTGAACAGAGACTTTCAGTCGGTCCACCTGGTGTCCGTAAAAGGTGATTTCACTGTTTATCAATATTTAATTATTTATTGCAATCTTTGTTGATTTTGCTTTGTGTTGACCAAAAAGAGCTGGAAAGTGGTCAAAAGGAGTTTTTCAGATTCCAATCAGAAATATTAATGTTTGTTGAATGTAAAAATAGAATTGGAAGGGATTACGCATCATCCAGTATAACAAAAAAAAAATGGTAATCCCATCTGACGACGGATCAAAAAATTAAGAAAACACGAACTTTCTAACAAGTTCTCAATAATCTTGATCTAAAACAGCTGACATGTTTATTGTTACATTTTGATGGAATGTCTGTCAATTCTGTAGTTATTAATTCAGAAATGGCAGAAATAAACATACGCCTGAACCCATTTTGCTTTTAGTTATTATTGAAATGGAAATTTACTTACATGATATTCAAGTGGGAAATTGGGATATTCTGGAATACTAGGTAACCTGTTGGTAGGTTGGTTGAATAGGCCTCTTCTAGTGCCCCGGCTTCTACCACCCCGGCTTCTACCACCCCGGCTTCTACCACCCCGCCTTCTACCACCCCGCCTTCTACCACCCCGGCTTCTACCACCCCGGCTTCTACCACCCCTACCTCTACGTTCTGCAGATGCTGGCCTTGCGTGACCATTCATTTCTCTTTCAGCCATCCTGTCTCAATCTTCCTCACTTATTATGAACTGGGAATCTCCAGATCTATCCGATCTTCGCCTTTACTATACACGAGAAAGAAAATAGGGTGATTAAAAATATAAACTAAATGTAACTATCTACCATCTGACCAAAAAGGCATGATCAGCATTGTCTAGGCTTGATCTTTCTGGACAACAAGCTAAACTTCATAACTACCCTCTATCCACGACGTACAGTCTATCAAAATATTCATGTCCAAATACAACACCCAAGTTCAGATACTGATTGGTCTTGGAAATATATGAAAATAAATAGGCACAATCCAAATGCATGATAATACTCAAAGATTTCCCCCTTCAACAGTGATAGAACCAGTGGCACTATCAAAGGGACAATTTTAGGAAATTGTTGATTATTTTAAGAATTAGTTAAAATATCAAAATTCTAAAATGAGGACAACTATTGTTGATAACCCCCAAATTACTCGATTACTCAAAGCTATATTATATATTATTAGCTAATGTTAAAGTGAACTTTGATATTTGTGTCTTCCAAAACTCATATCAATTCCTCAATCTATTTTCGAAAAATGTGAGACGTGGTGAAAGACGATGTTCCACTGAACGACATATTCATCGCACTGTGGGTGTTACGGCATGGGGTGCCATTGCTTATGGCAGCAGGTCACGATTAGTGTTCATTTGAGATAGCATGACTGCCCAGCGCTATATCCCCGAAGTTTTACAACCACATCTGCTTCCCTTTTTGGAAACATTGCAAGATCCACTTTTCAGCAGGACAATGCACGACCTCATGTCGCACGTGTTAGTTTATTATACGTTTTAGAAGCGTCCGGAGTAAATCTGCTTCAGTGGCCTCCTCGATCTCAAGACCTTCCCCCCCATCGGACATGATGAGAAGAAGGTTGCAAAATTCACCGCACCCTCCCTAAACATTGGAGGCTCTACGAACCCAAATTCAGATGTCCTGGGATACAGTACGCCAAGAAGACATCAATCACCTAATCCAACCAATGCCGCGACGAATTAACGAATGTGTGGCGAACAGCGGGGCTTTAACACATCATCAACATTAAGGTAGGATATCTCAGCTATTTTACAAAATTTCGAGTTAAAATTGTAATCGCTTTCTATTTATAAATACTATACCTAAAACTTGTAAAAGTATGCTCAAAATTACAGAACTCCTAGTCGGTGTTGCATTTTCTATGTCATTTAGTATATATTCCGATATTCTTATTCGAAAAGCATATTATGTCAGGGGTGCCACAAGGGTCGATAATTGGACCCTTTTGTTATACATAATATACACGGTGAAGTAGATCCAAGTTTACACGATATTGCTTTGGGTTTTTTCGTGGGTTTTCAGTAATAACGACGGCGATATAGCTAACAAATTTTAATAGTGGTAAGGCACAAAAATAAATCACTAAACTAAAAAACATAAAACCCGGTAATTATCAAGATCCCGGAAGATGATCGTCACATCACCTGTTGCCTCTCTTGGCGGCGAAGGGCAAGTGCCCTCCTCGCTAGGGGTGTTGAAAAAGTAACTATACGGTACTCGAGTACTCGTTACTCATAGATACCCTAAGTAACGGGTACTAATCAGAACACGAAATGATTACTTTGATTACTCTGTTTCTCGTTGATCGTTGAGTGGCAACGCTGCTTTTACTGTAGCACTGCCACTCATACATCAGGGTTGCCAGACATCCCACATTCGGGTGGAAACCCGGAAACTCAACTTTTTTTGATTGGCGGACATAGAATTTGGTAATTGTTTTTAAATCTGAAGTTTACCTATTTACACCGTGACTCGCTTTTATTGTTCTGATCTTGGCAACCTGAAAAGGAATAAGGAGGCGATTGGATTGAAGTAAAGTTCGGCAGTATTATGAGGCAGAAAAGCGACATCAAGGTAACACCACCATTCAGGAAAACCACAATAATAAAAATTATGTCAATTTGTCTGTTTTGCTAAAAAAAATATAATTCACTATAACCAACAATAGTATGTGTAGACTAAGCTCCAATTTTTTATACTGGTATATGCTTAATTGACATGCTTCAAAAAGTAACTTGCCAGTTTCCTTAACCCCATATACAGGTCATCTTTCTGATTAAAAGACATGCTTCTTAGGTATTTCTCGTAAATACAAAGTATTTTCAGTTTGTACGCTCATATGAGTCTTATGACACTCTATCCTATAATAACCCATCTCGATAAGCATAAATTTTGAAGATACGATGTTTGCATTAAACATGGCAGATTTGAATGAACTATGCTTATAAAATTTTGCAAATTTTTGAGGTTGTCTATTTTCTTACAAGATTCGGCTCCATTAAACTTGTTCAAATTCGACATCATTTAAACGATGCACGTTACCAGATTGTTATACTCATACTAGTCAAAGTAATTAAAGTAACGAATTCAATGAATGATTGCAGAAGAGTAACGATTAGTAACGAGTACTCGAAAGTAACGAGATTCACCACCACTACTCCTCGCTCGACCTGCTACAATTTTGTCCATCGTTGCCTAGTTGCCGCGCACCTCACTGAACCAGTACACAACTCCCCACTTATATCGAGGCAACATAGATTTAAGTCTCGAAACAGAGCAGAGGGTGCAAGGCAATACCGGGAAAATTACTCCAGTACAACATCGCTAGGCTGCTTATAAGCCTTGAGACTGATCACGTTTTCCTTAGAACGAATCTTACCATCAAGATGTCCAATGTCATAGGAGTTAATTCCCGCTTGTTGTAACACAGTATACGGTCCATCGTACAGTAAAAAGAATTTATAAATTAGTTTAGCTTCGGCGGACGAATGAGGATGCGTTTTAACTAGAACCTTATCGCCCGGTTCAAAAGTTACATGTTTCATCACTTTAGCCTTCTTTACCCTTTTTGCAGCCTCTCCCTTCAGTTTTTCAAAAGTGAAAATGACTTTTCTCACCCAGGACAGGTATTCTCGTTCTCCAAAACGCTAAGCGTTTTCCAGTCGCTTAGCGAATATGACGTCATTTGCACTTGCTTTCGAGGCACTTGCCAAAATATGGTATTCCCGTTGCCCGAACGCTCAGCTTTTTGAAAAGGGCTTGTCGCTTTCGTGATGAATACTGACACTGCTGTCAGAATTCTTATTTACATCGTGATTTTGGTTGTAGTTGGGCTACTGTGGTCCTCATATTTAGATAATTATATCCAAAGTATACCTAGTAATGGCATATCAGTTTGCTGGGCTTAATTTAATCCGGATTATTGAACATGTGGAGAGGCAAAGATTCAATGCTGATAATCCGTTCGAATTCTCTGACTTTAATTTTGTGAAATTATATCGTCTGCGAAAACAGGAGGTGCAAAATTTGGAAGAAATGTTACAGCCATTTTTACCAGTACATCCTAGATCGCACGCGATAAGTAATCGCACGAAGGTAAGTAACAATAATAAGGAAGTACTTGTACTTCCAAGATTGACAAAAAAATCTTATATATACCTATATACGATTGATAGTGATATTTGTATTATTATAACCTAGTGTACTGTAAAATCTCCATCATCGTTCAGTTAATGTGGAATGCATGTATAGTACTTATAGGATTCTGTGACATTAATGTTTTAGATACTGTCTGACTTGTGTTTCTTTGCAAGTGGAAGCTACCAGCTGGATGTAGGTAGAAATCATACAGTAACTCTCAGCCAGCCATCGATTTCAAGAACTTTACATGAGGTGTTCGGAGCATTCAACACTCCAGAAATATTGAACAGATATGTCCATTTTCCAAACACAATTCAAGAGTTAACCAACACCAGAGAAAAGTATATTTCTATTTAGAATTATAAATATATATGAGGAACTATCATGATGTTGTCCTACACTATGTTTCTTCAAACCTATTCAATAAGATGATCAAAATTTGATGGTCAAGCTGTACCTATATTGATTTTATTTTGTCTAGATTTTTCGCAAAGTACCAGGTACCTAGAATTATAGGCTGTATTTATTGCACTCACATAGGTATTGTGTGCCCAATCAAAAATGAACAAATATCTATATATATCAATAGGAAACGTTACCATTCCCTCAATGTACAGGGTCGCCACTATGTGCCAAGCGTTCGCACAGCAACGTGAATACCAAAACCGAACGCTTGGCGCTTTGCCGTACGACATGAGGCGCTAAGCGTTTTGAAAACGTATCGCTTTCAAGCCAAAGAACGAGAATACCGGTCCTGATCTGCTTACCCTCTTACAACCGGTAACACCGCCTGGCTCTGACCGCTTGAACACAGATACACACAAAATAAAAAATATGCACAGCAACCTGTTCCTCCGTCGCGTCGTGCCGCGAGAACTAACCGTCTTCACCTACGTGCGCGTGCGCGTACCGTTTTCGTCGCGTCTCTCTCCTTCTCTATCTACCACCTTGCAACCGTATCGCGCTACGCCGTTTTACTGCCTCGAGCTGGGCGCCAAATGAAGTAGATCCGATATTGCTCTGGATTTTTCATTGGTTTCAGTAATAACGATGGCGATGTAGCTAACAAATTAGGCGTATTTTGTAATTCACCGGTTGAGCCACCGGTGCAACCAAAATTTCCGTCTGAGCGACCGGTTGTACACCAAACTTGTCTATAAATTATTTAGACAACTCTATAGACAAGTTTGGTGCACTACAACAACTATATAGACAAGATTGGTGTACAACCGGTCGCTCAGACGGAAATTAAAAGAAGAAAAATTGGTTAATTGCTTGCACCGGTGGCTCAACCCAAGCGCAACCGTTGAATTAAAGAATACGCCTATTTTAATAGTGGTAAAGGCGCCTACAGACACACGAACATTCCTTGAGATATGTATGCGCGTACAAGTACGCGCGTACATATACGTTTTATTCGAATTGCCTACACACGTAAAGAACATTTACTGTCCGGCTTGCTAATAAACGTGGCGACAGTGAGTGATATTGATTTAAATTTATTAGCAGTGGCGTGCGTGTGTATAATCAAGAAAAAACAAAACCGATTAATGAATAAACGCAGGCCACGAAGTAAATAGGCAAAGAAATGGTTGTTGCAGCGTGATCGATTCTCACACGTAAATCTACTGGAAGAACTTCGTTTAGAACCGGATGATTATCGAAATTATCTCCGCATGGATGAGGATAGCTATGTATTACTTTTAAATTTAGTAACGCCACTGATCCAGAAACAAGACACGTGCATGAGGTCTGCCATATCACCTCATGAAAGACTATCTGTTACTCTTCGGTACCTAGCTACTGGCAGGAACTATGAAGATTTGAAATTTTCTAGTATCATCACACCTCAATCGCTAAGTAAAATGATTCCGGAGACCTGCAATGCTATTTATGGGGTATTAAAGGATGAGTATCTAAAGGTATGCACTACTAAATAAAATAATACGTTATTATTAGGCGGCTCACGAGTCGATCTAAAAAAGCAATGATATAGCTTTCTCTATCTTTTGAATATTCTTTATTTGGTCTCGATTTCGTGAGCCCCCATTCAATGTTACTTTAAGGATGTTAATTTCCTAAAATAAAAATGTAATAAATTGCTTGATGTTTTTTGAAACTTTAAGGATGAGATTTTCGAATTAAAAATCAGTTGTCAGTGTCAACCTTCTAAATAAAGAAAAACAATTTTCCTAAATATTGCATATTGTAATGTACCCGTATAGGCAACCAGAGTAGTAACCTGCTGCACATAGGTGGTTCTCAAACTCGACCAAACAGAATGACAAAAAGACTGTAAATTAATTTAAATATTTTTTGCAGTTTCCTACAACAGAGGATGAATGGAATACAATTGCTGCTGATTTTGAAACGAACTGTAATTTCCCAAACTGCGTGGGAGCCGTTGACGGCAAACCTGTCAATATACTCCCCCCTGCTGCAAGTGGTTCTTACTTCTATAACTACAAAGGAGGACATAGTTTAGTGCTCATGGCTATAGTCAACGCAAATTATGAGTTCATTATGGTTGATTTTGGAGTAAATGGTCGAATATCTGATGGAGGTGTTATTTACCACACTACATTTTATCAGAAACTAAAAAATGGGAATTTATCTTTACCGGCTCAAAGAAAACCTAAAACCTAGAGGCAGTAAAGTTATAATGCCATTCGCTTTCATAGGTGACGAAGCATTTTCCTTGCGCTGCGACTTTTTAAAACCATTTGGTCAGAAAGAACTTAATCATGACCGAAACATTTTTAATTATCAGCTTTCACGAGCAAGATGTAGAGTTGAAAATGCTTTTGGCATACTGAGTGCGCGTTTTAGAATATTTCAAGGAGCGATTTCCATTAGTTCAGAAGGAATTGAAAAAGCAGTCATGGCCGCCTGTGTTTTACATAATTATTTAAGACGAAAATGTGGAACTGCATATGTACCAGAAGATAACGTTTACAGTGAAAATATACAATATGGCACAATATATTTAGGAATAGAAAGCACTGGAATTACAAGACTGCAGCGCGGTTACAATCGAGGGAGTAACAATGAAGCAAAACAAGTTAGACTACTGTTTACGAATTACTTCTGTCATGAGGGTGCTCTGAGCTGTCAAGATAAAATGATACAGTAATAGTCGTCACAACAGACAACAACACCCTGTAGAAAACTTAAAGCTTCTTATTCATAAAACATTTCAGTACCTAAATGGATAATTTTTTACTTACCTCTCCTTGATCTGAATCAAACTGTTCATTCACCACGTTCTCGTCTGGTACGTTTGATACAGATGATCTGGGTATCTCTTGATCTTTTAAGAAAAGCAATAAATTGTAATACCATAAATATATATGTCATCCTGCCCAGCTCCTGACCTTTTGGACTCTGCAATTTTTTTTATTTCTCTGCGAAACCCAGCACGCATACTATTTATTTTGGTTTTCACTGTTTCCTTGGTAGCCGTTTTTTCTACTTCTCTCCACTTTTCAACCAATATTTTGTACGCATCGTTTTTTTATTTCTACTCATGTAGTCCTTGGATTTAGTTTTCCATAAACAGGGGTAAGATTTATAAAGTTCTATGAATTCTATTAAAAACTCTTTTGAATAGTTTCTGCTATCAGCCATTATTAAACACAGTTAACACCTGAAGATGGTTAACGCGAACCGCACTGGTATTATTCCTGATACGTATATTCATTCTGCCTACACACAGAGAGATATGTACGAGCAACCTGATGTTTGCCCTAGGTTCTCTCAGGATTCATGATGAAGGAAAATTTCCGCCTCGCGGGTTGGGGGGGGGGGGGGCTTTTTTGTTTCCCACTCTTTCCTATAAGCTTGCTGTCTATGTTTGGCTTTCTTCAAAGATTCCGCTCCTTTTTTTTGTTTTCTGTATTCGAGAGTATCGCATCTTTTGTTGTGATTCTCTCTTCCAGAGCAACTTGATTCCGAATCCGACATATTATCGTTATTGAATTGAAACCGGTTAAATATCAAAAATAACTGAACATGTTCTTTTGATTTTTAAGTTGCAAAAGTCATAAAAACGAGAGACGTCGCATTCATTTCATCTAATGCACATGGGTAAATAAAAATATGCGCGTCATGTCAATACATAGAACGTGAGAGGTGATTCACGGCAATTTTTCCCGTTGATGTTTGCCGAGGTAGTCCGCGTAATGCTAGGCAACCCCCCGACGATGATTTCAAGCACAACATTTCCGAGGAGATCTCTGCTATCCTGCGAGCGAGGTGTCAGAGAGTTTTCACGAATTTGAAGTCCAGACTCGAGGCGTACGTACGTCTCGATGGCTCACATCTCAATGGTTATTTTAAAAAAATTAAATTCCCATTATATACTTTATTAAAAATATAAATTATCTTCCCTACGCTTTGTAGTTTTTTCTATGATTTTTTAAAATCCGCTCAACGTAACGGCCCACCCTATACATAAAACAATACATACACAAACAAAATGGAAACCAGGAAACAATAAAATTATGTATAAGGGTGTGTTAAAACAAAGCACACGGTCGCTTCTATTTGCTCGTCGTTGCCCGTCCAGGCATTTATGACCCGCTGACCAACAGGAGCGCGTGAATTTGAACATCCCATTTGTTTCAACGGGGCGTAAATGAGACTCAAATGCACAATAGTTTCGGTTGTACTTTTAGCGAATATTCTTGGGCTTAGTACAGAGAAGGTAAAGCGTCAATTTATAGATATATAGATATTTATTGATCACATTTCAGTAAATTATTACATGTGACGAGTCAAAGAAGGAAAAAATGATTGATGCATACTCAAGCGCAGATCCAGGGGGTCATAGGGGTCATGTTGTTTAAATCACATTTAGTCATCACATGAGTGCAAGGGTAGGTCACTCCCACCCTGCTCATCAGTTTTTAATTCCACCCCCTGTCCTTATTTAATATCAGTTGATTTTGTTTACGTCAAGACTCCATCTCAAACATAATGCTGGTTATTTTCCCTTTAATCTCTTCTGGGGATTCCCCATACACTATCACAGGTGTATCATCTGCTTTTACTTGTTTGGAAGAATAAAAATCAATGGTCCCAGCACTGATTCTTGTGGGACGCCCAAAGATACAGGAAATTTTTTAGATTCTGTATCTTGTATTTTTATCTTTAAATATCGATTTTTTGTTGAATTTGAACCAGTCCAGTAGTAACCCTTTCATGCCTAACTTATGACGTTTGCTCGATATTACTATGATGTTAAGGCCGTCAAATGCTTTTGCTAAATCAAACATTATACTTACTACATAGTGATTATTGTCTAGAAGTTCATAGACAAAATCGATAAGAGGCTGACTCAACAGATTTATTTTTCCTGAAATTATGTTGTGAATAAGTTATCAAATCATTGCTCCGCAAAGTCTACAGCTATTTTATACAACATCCCTGCAATATTTTTGATGGTTCGGGTTAACGAGAAACTTGTCGATAATTATCAGTAACATGAGAGTCTCCCTTTATATGAAATGGACGGACTGGGATTCGGTGGGCTGTACTTTTAGGCACTCCCGAGCGTGTTTCTATTTGACGTACTGAAGTACTCGGGTCTTCTTCTACGGCTTGTAGTACAACGTTCCCATCAGGAAAGGAAAGTCATTTTCAACGTACTGCTTTCCGTCGCTCGTGTGCACTCAATGATATAATCTAATGTACCGCTTGCGGCGAAGCAGTCAACGCACGTCGGGTTTCAACGGTGCGTTACCGGCGAACGTTGGACGTCGACATCCTGCGTCGACGTCCCGTGTGAATTGATCCATTTACGGCAATAGCAGGGGCTCCGTTTTACTCCTGCTCCCAGGAATCATTTCTGCGACGTGGGGTGGATGTAGCGGTAGGATTAATCATGATTATACCAGACCCAGTCCACTCAGTACGTGTCCGGGCGTACCTAAAATCAGTACCAGCTGGGGCACTGTTGCCCGGTTGAGGCTTTTGCTGCATGTCACTCCTGTAAATTTGGTTTTCAATAAATACGTTGATATTGTCATTATTTGGAGGATTTTTAACACTTGTGGATGTGTACATTTAGGGGTTTCGATGCAAACAACCCATTGTTACGAAGCGACAACACTTTCTACACTGAGGTAATCTAGGACGCTGGTTTTGAATATGTATAAGTAAGATCTATAAAGCCTAACACTACCTTTTTTAAATGAGCATATCAACATGTCAGCCCAACAGTGGAACATGGTGGCGGGTACATTTTTGTCTGTGGCTTCATGTCGTGGAATGGTATTGGAAAGCACTATGAACAGTCAAGTATGTTGACATTTTACGCTATAACTTGAATAACAGTGATGAAAAAAATAGGGATCAATGAAACATCTATCATCTATCTTTTAGCAGGATAATGAACCTAAGCTGGCCGACTGAAACAAAGGAATGGCTACTTTACAATGTTCCTGCAAAATTATCTAATCTGCTCAAACTTTCTAATAAGGATAATGCAGTTTTGTTAGATATATGTCTGTCCATCGTGATAACATACGTGAAACCGTCGTTGCAACGTACTTTAGCGGTATAAGCACTTAACCATTATTTATGCTTCTTAAAGGCAATGAAGGCTCACGAAAGAATTGAAAAAAATATTGCAAAAGAAGCTTCACAAAAGATCTGCCAACATTTATGGTGTTTGACAGATGAGGTCTCTGTCTTATCTTTGTTTGACGACGGCGTAGATGTGGAAACTAAAGTAAAATGTTTTGCTAATTTAGACATTTAGACAAAGTCCATCAGTCCACTGTAAACGCTACATCCCATTGAAACAAGAACTTTTTGGCCCACTTTATGGCAAGTCTGACGAATAAATTGTCCGTTGTCTTCCTTTACTGCTTCAAATTACGTTTTGAAAACCATGCATGGTTTCCCTATTAACTTTCAAATTCGAAGATTGACCGAAAGTTATCCTTCCCCGATCGCAATAATATTTATTTTGTGAGTTGTTAGAGTCAAATGGAAAAAATTAGAGGATATGCGTATCTCGATTCGAACAAAAATTCGTTTAACTGGCTGGGACACCCTAATCAATGTACATAAACATATTTTTCCTTAGTGAATGCGCATCCCATTTCAAAACTTCTAGTGTATTCTAAACACACTTTTAGCTACAATTATCCTCATCAGCGAAGAAATTTTCCTCAAGTTTAACCCAATGTATCGTGCGCGTGATCCTTAATAGAAGAACGGTGTAAAAAATTAAGTGACTTCAAGATCTTACATATCATCAGAGGGCGCTCTCGCACATGGTGTGTCTACCAAATCCGGTGCCGCGCGTGATGCTAGGCAAAATCTGGCAACACCGTCGTATTTGCTGGCTCCCCCACCACCGATCCCAACAAGAAGCGCCTATCTACGATGCTCAGTACCGGCTCGACATCTATGAGCAAGGGAGCCCTCCATCGCCGTCACCGCCAAGTGCGAAATTCGAGCGGTCATCCGATGTTTGCACGTAAAAACGTTACCACCTATAGAAATTCATCGCCACCTGAGTGAAGTATATGGGAAAACGTGCATAAGCACTCAACATGTCCTCAAATGGTAAAGAGAGTTCTTTGACGGCCGTAAGGACATCCACAATGAACAGCGAAGCGGAAGACCGTCGATCTCCGCGGAAGTTGTGGCGAAGATTGAGCAAATCTTGCTCGAAGATCGGCGAATCACGATCCGGAAATAGGTGGTTGAAATTTCCGAGGCTTCTGAAAAAGCTGAGACGGGCAATCCAAAATCGTCGTAGAGGAAAACTCACCAAAGCGTAAGACTGCACCACAACGGTGCGCATCCTCATGTCTCGCAACAAACGAAGGACTTAATCGAGCGATTTGGCTGGGAAGTCATTGCCCATCCCCCTGACAGCCCTAACATAGCGTGTCCGAAATTGAAGGAGCAGCTAGGCGGTCAACGGTTCGAGACGGACGAGGAGTTGCAAGAAGCAGTTACCAAGTTTCTAAACGGGCTGGAGTGCAAAAAAGAATTTCACGTCTAAAAAAATGCGTAGAAAAGAATGGCGACTATGAAGAAATAATAGTTTAAACATCAATGTTTTTAATGGTGAATTTGTTTTTTCAAATAAAAAACTAATAAATTGAATATGCCTTTTTTCAAAGTTGTG